TGAGGAATCATTTGAGATTTTACTATTGAATGTGCACAAAGTTATTGTGACTTAATTAAATAGAATTCGTCGATTTTATTTAGTGGAATTATGTGGCTTAACAAGGTAAAGTTAAAATTCATTTTATTCACGAAGGAAATTGTTAGAATAATTTTACATATTAATGACATAATTGTATGAGAAATAGTACAAGAATTTTTATTTGAATTTTCCTCCAGTTTCAATAATAGTTAAATTGTACTCGTATACGTAATAATACTAATAATAAAAGTTATTAATATTATTAATGAAAAATGTCAATGTTAATTGATACACAACGAATTGATCAACAATATAAATTAACACAAGTTATTCGACGTATTTGTTCGTTAGCATCATAATTAGAATGTATCAATATAACGTACTCAATCAAGTGTAAAAATATATTGGAATAATTTAAATAACGATGGTTTATTATCGAATAGATACACGAGCGTTCTCTTCGTTATATTATGTAAATTGTGGGATTACATTATATTATGTAAATTGCGGCAAATCTTAATTAGGTGCTATTCATAAGCTTTTTGAAAATGTATCTGCATCATCTATATTAATTATTTGGTTTTTGTAATTATATTAAGTTCCCGAGATTGATTCACATGAAATTGTTTAAATTAATTCCAGGTATCCAGAGTGTTAGTTCTAGTTTTGCACTAGCATTATCACAAGACTTAAAACTAGAATCATTCGGGTTTAGCCGTCTTGAGAGACGTGCGGCTAAATCCGAATGTTTCTAGTTCTAGGTCTAGTGTTAGTTCTAGTATTACACTAGCACTGTCGCTAGAACTAATACAAGAGTTAGAACTGGAATCATTCGGGTTTTGGCATTATTTGCTTCATTTATTCCTTTTCCTTCTTGCTTCGTTTGGGAGATCTTCTTTCTCTTTATTCTAGATTCTTTCTTTAATCTTTTTGGTTTTTCTGGCATCTTTTAAATTCTGGTTAATTTTTAATTTTATCGCAAACCAGCCCACTTATGGAAACTGTTCTTACCTAGAACTATAAAGTTTATATCCTTAATCTTATTATCACGTCTCGGCCGGACAATATTCTTACGCAGGGTCAGTTGTTTTTTTTTTACTGTGCATTGCAATTATGACGTCATGCTGCTTCCCGGCGCTTTGTGATCCACCGTGATCTTCAAAGTATAGATTGCCTGACATAGATGCTATGGTGGAGTACCTTAATTCCAAGGTTCTCGGTCTCTATGACCGGCATGCTCCGGAGAGGCAGCGGAGAGTTAGACACATGCCGGCACCTTGGCTAAATCATGAGATTAGGTCTCTCATGCGGAAGCGCAATCGTGCTAAGTTATTGTTTAAACGTAGCACTTCTGCTACCAATCGGGAATATTATCGTGTGCTGCGCAACCGTTGTAATCATCGATGCAAAAACGTTAAAAGATTACACTACTGTCAGAGGTTGTCTGGAGCCACTCATAAGACATTTTGAAAAGCAATGCGATCACTTAGTGTTATAGAGGCTCCCACTCTTGATGCTGCTGCTCTAGCGGAGTATTTTGCGGATGCTTCTGTAGTGGTTGGTAACATAACTAGGCAGAATACTATTAATGGAATCCTTGCATCAACCAACGTGCTTCCTTTTCATTCAGCTTGGTTACAGATGCTGAGGTCCGGGATGCTTTAACTTACTCCAAGTCCACTAGGTGCAGATGGTATTGGACTCAGATTCCTCTTACCCATTCTGGATATAGTTATTACTCCCCGAAAACATATTTTCAATTGTTCTTTTGAACAGTCTATATTTCCGTCTATCTTGCGAATTGCCCATGGTATTCCTATCCCAAAAATTCAATCTCCGTCACATGTTGGTGACTGTCGACCCATTTCTATTCTATCTACGTTGTCAAAAGCCATTGAACGTTTAGCTGATTTACAGATTCAGAAATATCTTTAGCAGTTTAATCTGATTAACAAGTTCCAGTCCGATTTTCGTGTTACCTTGCTAGTGTTACTTGATTTTAGGCCTTTGATTCTGTGGACCATGCCCTCCTGTTAACTAGGCTCACTATTGGTTTTACCTCTTCTTGTGTATCTTGGTTCCAGTCCTACCTTTCCTATCGGTCTTTACGTGTCCGCGCGGAATCTGTACTCTCTTCTCCAGTTGATATCCAATATAGAGTTCCCCAGGGCAGTGTGCTGGGTCCTCTGCTCTTCTCAATTTTGATAAATAGTATTAGTGATGGAATCTCGTGTAACTATCATTTGTATGCAGATGACCTTCAACTTTATATTTCGTCAACTGTTAACAACCTCCCAGATGCTTTGTTACATCTTAACAACGATCTCTTTAGCGTGCTTGACTGGTCTAGACGTCATGGACATAACCTGAATCCTGGTAAAACGCAAGCCATTGCATTTGGGACGCGTCCCTTGCTGGCACAATTTAATTCCTTAAGTACCCTTCAACTAACTTTTTGACCCTAATACGATCAAAAATCTTGGTGTGGTCATGGATTCGGCGATGTCTTGGCGCCCACAAGTTCAGGGAGTTTGTAGGAGGGTTTACTTCTGTTTCCATACTTTGAAAAAACTTCGCTGCTACCTTCTTCCTGTTGTACGTTGTAATCTTTGCTATTCCCTCATTTTCCTACACATTGATTATGCCGATGCTGCGTATCTCGATCTGTCCGCAGCCCTTCGGGGTAAATTGGAAAGACTTCAGAATGTGTTTACGGTACATTTTTGATTTAGGAAAGTTTCAGCACATTACTCCATATCGTAACAATCTGCAGATGATGACTTGCCAGAGTCGTAGATCATTTCGTATGCTTACTATGTTATGCAAAATTATCTATACCCGCACTTCTGCTTATTTGTCTGATGCCTTTCACTTTTTAGCATCACATGACTTGTCCACTTGATCAATGTCGGGCTCTACACCCATATTTCCAGTCCATAGTACTGAAATCTACCACAGATCTTTTATAGTGCAGTGGATTGCGTTGTGGAACTTTGTTCGTAATGCAGCTAGTTTAATAAGTTTCAAAAATGCCTTGAGGCGCCATCTGCTATCTTTTCAACTATCTTCTTTTTGACCTATACGTGTTTGTTTTCTTCTCTAGTCTGCCTTTTATCTATCTTTTGCTGCACTTTTTGTGTCTATTTCCTTGCTTGTAAGTAACTGACTGTCGATCCGTTATATAATTCAAATATGCTCATTCGCTCAGTTTTATTAGCACATCATTTAGTATTACTTTTTCGGTAGCCATAATTATTTATTTAAAATTACATATACACTGTTACCAGTTGGGTCTCTTGGAAGATATCGCTTATTACGATAAATTGGTCCGTTTGTCTTGATGTCTATATTTGTTATGAATGTATATATTCATGTAAATATTTGTTTTTCAGGCAAGAAACATTATTATTATTATGAATTATTATCATTATTATATTTTAGTAATTGGGAATTTATAAAACGAAGCCCATACACATAGAGTGTGTAATACAGTGTTCAGGCTTGTATCTATTATTTTCCTCTTGGCTTAGTTTGGGTTTAAGACAGTGAGAATCTTTGTCTTCATATGATATCTTCTTAATTTTTTCTATGATTTTTGGGTTCATGCTTAACATTGTATGTTTCATGATCGCACAATAAATACTACTACTACTACTATCCTATTTTTGACTTCCATCAGGCTTAGTCCTTCAGTATTACTGATTTTTCACTGGCTTTTACTTTTTTGGTCTTTCTAGTATCTAATATTCGATATATTTTTAGGTCTTCTGCGTTTCCTGCTTATTATTGGTTTCTCTCTTTCTGTTTTGTTTTGGACTATAATTATCTCTGACTAGTGTTGTTTGGCTTCTTCAATATTACAACTACCTTAATTATGACTTTTCTATCTAGATTCTTTATTATCTTCTTTATGGGTTCGCTGACATCTTCTGAATTTTGACTTGTTTCTACTTGTTCAGGTTCTTTATTTTTGGCATTGTTCATGTTTAAGAAAAAGAGAATCTTCCTCTTCATGATATTATCTTGGTTTTTCTTTTGCTTCTTGGTTTTTAGCCTGTTTCCGACTTTGCTCAGACTTATTCATTTTCTTTCTAACTCCTTCAGTATTACTGACATCTTCATCCATTCTTGCTAGCATCTTTTAATTTCCGACATATTTTTAAACTTTTATTTCGCACAACCAAAGCCTTTTGGATTATTTCAAATTTCTTTCCTTCTGGTATCTTTTTAATATTTGTTTTGCTTCTACGTTTCTTGCTTATTTCTGGCTTCTTTCTTTCTGGTTCTCTTTGGACTTTCGTTTTATCTTTACTACCTTGATTCTGACTCTTCTCCATCTAAATTCTTAGCTGTCGTCTTTCTGGCTTGTCTGATATCTTCTTTATTTTAACTTGTTTAAAGCTTATCCGTCTCTTTATGTAGTCTTAGATATGAGTTGTTTGTTTTCGCCGCTTTGTGTCTTGCTCTCCTTTATACTACACCTTTAATAAGATTTCTTCTTATATGTATCTCGAATAATTAAATAAATAACAAGCGTATTATCGAAAAAAAAACCACAGGTTTCTTTTTATGATTAAAATATTCATTTAATTCTAAGAAAGTTTGATTTTCCCACTTTCCATTTATTCATCATTACTGAGAACGAGTTTTTAATTAATTAACATATACAATCAAATCTAATATAATTTTTGCTATATATTTGTATTAATATATTTATATTTAATAAGTCTTTTAACTTAATCATACATTATTTTATGACGAAGTAATTGAAAGACCTTGTTAAACCGATACAAATATTACATGTTTGTCATTGAAATTGGAAAGATAGACTACATAAAACCTTGTACATTTTTTTGATTTAAAAATAAACAATTTATTTACAAGGCGATTCGTATCATCACCCTTTTAATTACTTTTAAATAAACAATTACATTTAATTAATTTCTTTACTATATAAAATTTTTTTTTATTTTTTCAAGGGTGACCAAGAAATACCAATGTGGATCAACACGGTAGAAGCGAGCGCTATGGGCGCTGAAGAAGTCAGTGCAAGATTGCGGGTAGAGGTACGACAGGGTTTGAGCTGGCAAGAAGCAAATTATAGAAGACAGCTAATAGGGTGAGTCAAGTTTACAAACTTCATCCAAGAAACAAATTGGACACAACCCTTTCCAGTAGTAAACTTAACTTACAAATTGCCGGAAATTTACCAACAACAAAACTTTGGCGTTATGCAAATGAACTCTACCAACTCGTGGAATTCATTTGCTTCCTGAATTTCCGCCGTAACTTTCTTTGTGTTTGTTACGTTTCTCGAGTTTGTTGTAAGGTTATATTTATTATGTAACGTTTTTATATGAAGTTGGTAGATGCCGGTGGCATTGACAGAGAAACCAACGCGGAACTTGATCCGTTCATTATGTAAATAGGGGCGTCTGTAAATATTATGTAATACGAACTGATCAAATAGCTTCGAGATTATAGTTGGATATTTTATCTTTTCAGATATAACGAATTCTCAGTAAAAGACGAAGATCCACCTTGGAAAAAATATTTAGAACAATTCAAAAACCCTTTGATCCTGCTCCTTTTAGCATCCGCTGTCGTTTCGATTTGCATGCGACAATTCGACGATGCCATCAGTATTACAGTAGCCATAGTTATCGTGGTAACCGTGGCCTTCGTCCAAGAGTACCGCTCGGAGAAATCTTTAGAAGAACTGACCAAATTGGTACCGCCGTCATGTCACTGGTAAGTACACGTTCTTTCTTGTTAGCGATCGCGATTTAATGACCGTTATCGCGCGAGGAAATTCCGAGTACGGTCTTAATTTGGGTCAATGGTTTCGAATGCAATACTAACTATCTCGGTATGTCATTTAGAACGAGTACAAATGGGTCACTTATCATACATCATAATTAAAGCTAACGCAAAAAAAGCTGAAATAATGTTTTGCGTAAATCAATTTATTTACGGACACGATTTACGATTTTTCATTTTGAATTATTCGCGTTTTATTAAAGTCAAACAACACTCACACACAATTATAATGAAACAGCACAGTTGTTTTGCATTTCGACGTGTTCGACAATAAAGCGAATGAAACTATTCAAAGTTCTGAAAACACATCTGTTTCCTATTTCGACGCGGATATGCATTGTTCTTTCCGAAGAACGTGTCGGGTTTATTTTCACTACATTTGAGATGGTACAATGCGGAAAAGAGGGGTGTGTTTGTTATCACTCTGGTTTTCCGGAGTTTATCCGTCGTCGGAGAGATTTCGTATATTTGTTGATATGGTTTGAGGTTATTTGAAATTGTAGCAGATGGTTTCCAGTTATGATTTATGTTTCCCATTTTAAAGGGGGTTTGATTGAAAAGGGAAAAACGTGATTCAATTAAATTATGTTGGTTAAATTGGTGCGTACTTGACCGATTCGATTTTTGAATCCCTTTAATTCGATTAAATGACCTAGAATAAATACTATTTGTTATGAAATTTTTATGTTTTCCAGTTTTTATTTGGAGGAAGATTTCTAACATTGCTTAATTAACTTAAAAATATTTTTTTTTGTATCTCAAAAACAAAAAATGATATTGAACTGAAAGCACAAGGTGCAGGCCGACGTTCTCCATAGTATCTTCAGGAACAGTATCCTGGTGAAACAAGGAAATAATAAAGAAGAGATTGAAATATGCTCTTCTCTGGTATTAATTAAAGACCAGCATATACGCCAAATAGAAAAAGCTTTGGATGAGTTGGATGATTCATGCTTTATGTAAGAGTGATTAAGAAATTAAAGCTTTGCAGTCGCATCCTTATTTCTGAAGGGGCTGTTAGAGACCAGCTATGCAAGTTATTTCCTCCCAAATATGAGGAGCCTACATTTAGCTTGTACTTAAAATGAAGGAATTAGGTGTGGTAATTAATAGAATCAATAAAAAGTAAATACTCTTTCCTGATACAATGACACCCGAACTATTATTAGCCATCGTTGAGGACGCCAAGGCGATTTTTCTTAATATACAGGGTGAGTTGTTAGTATCCCGGCGGTTGATAGTTGCTAAACCGTTTTAAAAACAAAAAAATATTTTATACAAATGTTGTTTGATTCACCACTTTCTATTACGTAAAATTATTTTTACTTATACAGGATACTCCATTTAGGCGTAACGGAGGGTATGTAGATTTTTTAAATGGAACATCCTGTATATTTTATCATATTATGATTACAATTAAATTTGTTTGTACAACCGTATATGTTACTATTTCACAGCGTTCATAGTTCCTGAAACCACGTCAGACAATAGTCAAAGCCAGTAGGTAGATGATAGTATTCATAGATATTAGATACATTATACAGGGCTGTTTATAAAGCTTAGTTACTTTTGATGTTTTTCAAATGGCTTTTTCTTAAGTTTTTTAAATGGAACACCCCGTATATTGTGTGCTAGTTGAATTGCTCATCAAATTCTCTTTAATTAATGATAAGTATGTCATGTATCTATCTTTAATAGTTTTCCTGATATTTAGAATTTAAAGAAAAATGTGTAATAAAATGTCACTATTGTACTTAAAAAAGTGACAGAATGTCCTTTTTTTGTCACTTTTTTTTTTGTTTTTTCTTTTTTGTTTGTCTGTCATTTCTAAATTAGTAATATTATATTAAAATACAATTTAAAAAAAAAAAACATTTTTTATCCATAAAGTACCAAGTCGCATTAAAATCTGGTATATGGCACCAAAATTATTTTACATTATAAAATATTAATCAAATAATAAAAGGAAGAACAAAAAAAACTAATAAACGTAGACAGAAGATAATATTAAGTACAATAACGCATATTTTATTACATATTATTTTTTAAATTCTAAATATCAAGAAAACTACTAAAGTTAGATATATGACATACTTATCATTAATTAAAGGTAACTTGATGGACAATTCAACCAGCACACAATATACAGGGTGTTCCATTTAAAAAACTTATGAAAAAGCCATTTCAAAAGCATCAAAAGTAACTAAGCTTTATGAACACGCTGTAAGCGTATCTAATATCTTTGGGTACTATCATTTACCTACTGCCTTTGACTATTATCTGACATAGTTTCAAGGCAAAATTGGAAAAAATGTCGTTTTTACATAGGTTTTAAAAAGATCCTGCAATGGACACATTTTGGAAAAACAATTGAATATCTCAAGAACTATGAACGCCATCAATTAGTAACATATACAACTGTATAACCAAGTTTAATTCTATTCATAATATGATAAAATATACAGGTTGTTCCATTAAAAAAAATCTACATACTCCGTTACGCCTAAATGGAACACCTGTATAAGTAAAAATAATTTTACGTAATAGAAAGTGGTGAGTCAAACAACTTTTGTATAAAATATTTTTTTATTTCTCAAACGGTTTAGCAATTATCGTCCGCCGAGATTCTAATAACTCACCCTGTATACAGGGTGAGTTTTTTTTCGATGTTTAGTATAGACATCTTGAAAACTAGCGGAGATAGAGAGACGATTAAATAGGGAAAGAATTGCAGTTTCATGAACTCAATTTAATGAGCTTTTTGTTTTTTGGATAAAATGCATGGCTAACTAGATATCTCGAAAAAACCGTTTTTTTTGTTATATCGTTAGATACCTATGGCTCCGCTATTATTGATTTTAGGAAAAATTTGTAGGGTATTACATGTTTAACACTCCAGTAGTCGCGGCTCCGGTTACTACAAGAGTGGGCGCATGTCATCTATTAGATGACTTTTCAATGCATGCAAAATACCGTATTTTCTCGAATCTAATCCGCACCCTTTTTACAAATTTTGTATGCTCTAAAATCAAATGCGGATTACAATCGGATGTGGATTACATTGGCAAACCAACTTTTTTTACCATCATTGCATTTTTAAAATCGAGGTGCGGATTAGATTCGAGTGCGTATAAGATTCGAGAAAATACGGTATATACATTTCTCTATGATGCAAAAATATTAACAGGTTAGTCCAGGCAGACTGTCTACGTCATCTCTTAGATGCAAAATAAATATATATTTTTCTATGATGCAAAAATATTATCTCTTAGATGACATGCAACTATTACAGTGTTAATAAAGCAGTCTAATCGACTTTTTTATTTAAGCAATAATTTTTGAGTTATAACACAAACTTGTAATTTTTCTAATGGAAACCATGGTTGGCCATGACTTTATAGAAAAGGCCTTTTCTCTTATTTCTTCTATTTGTTTTAGACTTGCTGATCTGTTGAACTTTGAATTCGTACTCGAAGTGTGTCTTGTTTTGAGGACTTCCAAGTCCTTTCATTTTTGGGGTGGTCTTTCTGTTTATGTTTGAGTCCCTGTTGGTTTTCTCTCTAATACTATATCTTCCATCTTACCATATCTAGTGTACCACATCGTTCCTTGATGTTTATATTTCTTATCCGGTCTTCTTTAGTCCCACATAAGATAGTCCACTACATTTTAATTTTGGCAACTTTTACCATATTCTTAATTTTACTATCATCTTCGCCTGTCTCTATTCCATGTGTTATGACGAGTCTTATGCAAGTTTTATAAATTCTTATCTTGCTGTCCATTCGTATGTATTGATTTGATCAAAAGATTCTGATAGAGATCGCTTTATTGATTTCGTTTCTTAATTTTTTTGCTGGGTCAATTTTTTTCGATGGGCTTGTCTTTTTCTCCAAGTTCAAATTTAAATGGATCTTCGGCGATTATCATGACAACTTATATAGTTTGCTTACTTGATAGAATTTTAAAAAAATTTTGCATATCATCTTCTGTTTTTGCTATGATTGCTGCATCTCATACTGACTTTAGCCTTGCTCAATTTATAGCCCAAATTCAACAACGACACCACCTGTATAATTTTGTCCATTACCAGGTTGAGCAGGAATAATGTTAAGAATATTAGCGGTTATATACTCGCTTGTTTTAACCTTTGTCATTATCTGTTTAGATTTGGATTACTTTTACAATGTTGGAAAGCGTTCCTTTTTCAATTAGTAATCTCAGAATATCTTGTAGACGTACTTTGTCAAAAGTATTCGTCATATTAACGAAGTTGATATAAAAGGGTTTGTTAAATTCTATTGATTTTTGGCTGTTTGATAATAATAAATAAAGCTTCTGTTGTAGACCTATTTTTTCTAAAATGCTTGTTGCTCCTCTACTTTTAATTCTAAATCCTCTATTAGAATGCTTGTACATAAGTTATTATTTTAATTAGAATGTCTGATGGATATCGTAAATATAAAATCAAAGCCATTAACAAGACCATGTTAAAAATTACATTATTAGATTATTATTATACATATATATTTATATTATTATTATATAGGGAAATCCGTGCAGCCAGCGGACATATTGTTAAAGTTTGGCAGTTCTCCATAGAGCCGCATTGAGTTTAATGCTAAGTTATGTCTTCTTTTTTAGTGTTGTGGTACTTGATTTGATAGATGACCGTGGTTGTAAGAGGAGTCACCAAAACCGAAATTGTGGAATTATATAACCATTAACAGAAGTAAAGAAACTGCTTATATTTCCTAGGGATTTCAGCATCTTTCCCTTGGTAAACCGCTTGATTGATTTCATTGTTTGATTGAGGTTCGTTCTTTGATACTCTCATCGTTTCGTCTACACTCAACTTCCTGGTTTCCCTATAAAGCTTTTCAAATGTCATATTTAATTGACAAATCATAACTAATGAAATGGATCCTAATGAATAATGATATACATAAATAATAATTGGGCGCGGTCAGCGGACACAGCTGATGTAAAAAAGCAGCGTTTGTGATGAGTATGATGATAAGCAGCATGTTTCTGGTCGCTGTACGGTATTTCTACACATCATGTTTTTGACATATTATGCATTAAATGTCTAAACTGTCTTGGTTGACAGTATTAGATTAGTTAAGTCCCGTATTATACGTGTTTGCTAAAAATGGTCGATACAAATCGTAATAAACGTTTGGTAGTGGATTATTATATATATTTATTTATATTTATCATTTATATTTATTTATATTTATTATAGATTATTATTATAAATTTATATCCTTGCTTTAACATTTCTCTTCGAATTTCTTCCCACAACTTCTTCTTTTTAATTTTGGGATTTCGGAACATGTCCTTCCTCTTTTCATATTCCGCTAAGAAAAGCATTGTTGCTGAATGTGTCCATATAAATTTATCTACAAGATTTACACAAATCATATTTATATACATGAATATATAGTTATACTTGTATGTACAGACCTTCATATACTTCTACATCGAAGTGTTCGCCCCTTCCTTCTTCTTCTACAGTACTAATATTCCTGTTTTCTTCTGTATTTTTATCTTGGGTGTCAACAAGGTAATAGGTTAAATCATCTAGAGTAAAATAAGAGAATTCAAATAAAACCTAAGATGCTGTTAAGATGTGGAAAACCCACGTTGGCTGTTGCATGTTACCGTTAAAATATACAATTTAGTTATTTCATACAATAGTAAAATACTTATTGTTATAAATAATTTAAATACGAACAAACTTACCATTACTTATTTCCTCAGCATCCATTTTGTTGTATGAATGTCAAAGTTAGGTCACGGCTAGGTGGGATTATATTAACCTCACTTCACGACTTCACCCACTTTCTGTCACTTTCATTTAAACGTCAAACCAAAGCGCTGTTAAAAACGGCCAGCGCTGAGTTTCAGCGGTAAACCAGCGATACCGTTCAGGAACCTGATGTGGCTCAGCTACTCAGCTGCTGTGTCCGCTGACCGCGCCCATTAATAATAATAAAATAATAATACAGTCAAAAATTTGACGTATTTCAGATGACTCCATATTTAAAACGCGCATTGCTACCAACTAAATTTTACTAACAGTGCGCAAGTCTAAATCAAAACCTGATGGCACACCGTGGCTCGAAATTTTTAGAACGCACTAGAAAAAACTGTTTCAGGAAAAAACTAGCTATGGACAACCAAATGACTTTAGCGAATTCAATCTCATGTTAACCTGCCGCTCCTCCAAGTGTTGCCAGATCGAACGCTACGTTGCCAGTCTCATTACTTAATTTATACACCTCATATGTAAAATATGAATTGGTTGTTAACTGATGGAATATGGTTCTTTTATGATTTTTATATAAGTTTGTTTCCCTAAATCGGCACCTTATTTTTTGTCAACTCTCTTTATTCTCAATGAACTTTTTCCTTAAAGATAAACTGTTCAAACTTCAATGCTTTAAATTTTTTCAAAAAATAGGTTATTACAGTATATTTATACCTCGGAAATGAATTGATTCAAATTTAATTGATTATCTCTTTTTCCATTAGCTTACTATTTCAAATAGTGCCTAATTTATTTACTTTTAACAAGAAAGACATTTTAATCGATATGGATTTAAATTAGTTACAAAGGAATTGGTATGGTTTCATTTTATTAATTCACTTTTACGACTTTATTAATCCCATTTTCTTTTACATTATTGACATTAATGACAATTGTCATCTTTTAACATATTTATTTTCCGTAATCGTCAATTTCTTTCCGAATATTTACGCTCACTTTTAGAGCGTGAAAGTAGGTAAAGCGAGCAAGGTGATTACATCGCTTATTAAAATATTATCTCCTTTAGAAACAATTTTCAATTCAAATCCCATTTTAGCATTGGTGAATATCGATTTGTATAAGCAAATTTGTCGTAAAATTAAAATATGAACGAAGAGGGACAAGGGGACAATGCCGGCGATATTGATCGCGAGGAAATATTGAAAACTTTGTACTCGTGGAAAAGCACGGTCGAGGAAACGATCGAAACGGTTAAGCAGGACACGGGCGATACAATAGTTATGAAAGCAATCAGGAAGCTACAAATGGAGAAAAAGGATAAAGCGAATCCGTATTTGTGTTTTGTGGCGTTTCTTGTTTTTTGTAATGCTTTTTATCATCTATATTTATTTGGGGAATTTTGAGAAATAAATAAAAACTAAGTAATTAATTAAATTTTTTATATCACTCTTTACAATTAATCAACTCATCACAAACAATTATCCCAATTTAAATAGCAAGCATATTTCATTAGTCGCGGCCGTCGTTTGCCCGTTCAATGGCTTCGTTGTTTCCTCGGGTTCTTTTTTCTTTACGGTTTGGATTCGAGATAAACACATACACAATCGGAGTTAAAACGACAACTTAAACCGGGTATTTTAATCTTAAGCGGTTCATTTCTTGTTTGGTAGTTGATATTACGCAGCCGACGAGAAAGTACAGTAAAAATAATTGTTTTACAGCCTTCGAGAAGGCACCCCGGATACGTTTTTGGCGCGGGAATTGGTTCCCGGGGATGTCGTTTTGTTGAATATTGGGGATCGGGTTCCCGCGGATCTTCGCCTCTTCGAATCGGTTGATTTAGCCATTGACGAAAGCAGTTTTACCGGAGAAACGGAACCTGCCCAAAAAAATACCGCCCCTATTTTGAGACCTAATGGCTCGCAATCGTCCAAAATTAATATTGCGTTTATGGGGACACTCGTAAGATGTGGAAGTGGAAAGGTAACAAAACAAATATCTTTTTTGAGTTAATTAAATGATTTTCATTTAATTTTAGGGTATAGTAGTAAGTACTGGAGTTAATAGTGAATTCGGATCAGTATTTAAAATGATGTTGGAAGAAGAGGCGCCAAAAACTCCATTACAAAAGTCAATGGATAGCCTCGGAGCTCAACTATCAATATACTCATTTGGAATTATAGGATTAATTATGTTAGTTGGCTGGTTACAAGGGAAGCAAACTCTTGAAATGTTTACAATAGGCGTTAGTTTAGCTGTAGCTGCAATTCCTGAAGGTAAAACATTAAAAGTAATCATATATTAACCCTAAATAATTTTATTTTTAGGTTTACCGATTGTTGTAACAGTAACGTTGGCCCTAGGTGTCATGAGAATGGCAAAACGTAACTCCATCGTTAAAAAACTACCAACAGTCGAAACGTTAGGTTGCGTAAACGTAATATGTTCCGATAAAACCGGGACCATAACGCGAAACGAGATGACAGTAACCGTTCTTGTAACTTCCGATAATTACTTAGCGGAAGTTACAGGGGCTGGATACAACGATCACGGACAAGTGATTTTACATAAATGCGAACATCCCGAATACGCAAGAGATAGTGTTAGTAAAGTGTTCGAGGTGGGAGCTGTGTGTAATAATGCGATGATAAACAATGAGACTTTACTGGGTCAACCGACTGAAGGTGCTCTTTTGGCCGCCGCTATGAAACACGGAATGTATAACGTACAAGACCGTTACATTCGATTACAAGAGTACCCGTTCTCGTCCGAGCAGAAAATGATGGTCGTTAAATGCGTGCCGAAATACGATAACGATAAACGCGAAATTTTTTTCGTTAAAGGCGCTTTAGAAAAGGTATTACCGAAATGTACGCAATTTTCTTACAATGGAACCGTACAGAAACTAACAACAAAAAAAGAACAGGAATATATGGTGGAAGCCCACGAAATCGGAAGGAAAGGTTTAAGGGTTATTGCTTTAGCGAAAGGAACGAATTTGCAAGAGTTGGTTTATGTGGGTTTAGTGGGAATTTGTGACCCACCAAGGCAATACGTAAGGGAATCAATAACGACGTTATTACATTCTGGGGTTCAAGTTAAAATGGTTACAGGTGATGCTGTTGATACGGCGGTTGCAATTGGTAAACTTTCATGATTTATTTTAACAAAATTTTATTAATCACATAATTTTTTTAGCTCAAATGATTGGATTAGACACCTTACACTCTCAAGTACTTTCGGGAGAACAATTAGATAGTTTTACAGAAGCAGAATTAGACGCAGCCGTTCCACACGCAACCGTTTTTTATAGGGTTACCCCAAAAAATAAATTATCAATCGTGAAATCACTTCAAAGGACGGGACACATCGTCGGAATGACTGGTGATGGGGTTAACGATGGCGTTGCACTTAAAAAAGCCGATATTGGCATTGCAATGGGGAGGAATGGTACGGATGTTTGCAAAGAAGCGGCTGATATGATCTTGGTGGACGATGATTTCCACACAATAATGTAAGAAAATTATTAATAATGTATTGTTTAGGATAATTTATAAAATTTTTAATTTAATAATTTAGTTCTGCTATTGAAGAAGGGAAAAGCATATTTTATAATATAAGGAATTTCGTGAGATTTCAATTGTCGACGTCTATTGCGGCGTTATCTTTGATTGCTTTAGCGACGTTAATTGGTATTCCAAATCCGTTAAATGCTATGCAGGTAAGTTTTTAATTTTATTACAAATTAAAATCGTTGAAACATGTAATTTTTTTCTATAACTGTCAAATTGTTGTAAAGTTGGTTACAGTTATATTATTATTTGTTGTCTGTTTTCAAAAATATCTCTTAAAACTCACTGATTGATTTACTTTGAGATTTTTACATTAGAATTTAATTCGAAATAAGAAGAGATTCTGACTTGTAATATAATAACATGAATATCTAACTCTGAGTAGAAATGCTGCAAGAATTCCTTTTGCAACAACTTATTTATGTAAAGCTGGATTGTCAGCTGTAGCTATGATTTGTGGCAAAGCAAATATTATATTTAAGGATTGTTTTCATTTTGTGTCTGATCTATATCATGATATAAAACATACAAGTATACAAGGCATTGAGATCTTCTTTCTTCAGCTCCTTTGAACTGCCTCGAGATTTAACAAATTATAAATATACGAACACATATAATGCCAAAGACTTACATATGTATATAGAACAACACTTTAAAGTAGAGATGACACAATTAATGGAAGGAAACTTCTTCTTCTATCCAGACGTCTAGCGACTCGACTTTCTCAGAAACTTTAGGAGAACCCTTGGACAACTAGATCTGGAAAGGGATTATAAGATAAATAGTGATTAAGGTCTAAGTAATATCACAGCCAATTATATTTTTCTATAATCGACTAGTTATCACAATTATTTCTATACAGTCCTTCTTGATATCACATTTATTGTGCGTCTATCGTTCCTTGTCATTATTTTAAATGGATCGTCATTGACACAAAATTGTTTTGGCGTGGAGCACGATCCTTCCTCACATTCCATTTGGTGGCCCAGACGAACTCTGGCCCTTCTTGACTTTCTGTGACGATCTTTTCATCATGGTGGGGATATTTATTTCTTTCGTTAGAGACAATTCTGTCGCTATTAAAATCGTATAACAATTCAGATGGAGTGTCGTTTTTACGTTTTTTTGTTTTCGAGGATATTACATTTTCTGGGGGAAGTGATAGTTGTTTTATATGATTTTTTTGTATCGATTGTTTGTACAGTTGTCTCTTTCTGATGATTTGTTTAGGTTGGGTTGCTTTAAATTCTGAGAACCTTCTCGGGTCCATCATTGTGTGAGAATTGTTGAGTATAGTCTGTACCCACTTTCTGCGCAGCTTCATAAATTGAGGTATTATATCTGGTCACAACCTCCTTCATTGTTTTTGTCTTATGTATTCTGGGCATTTTCTCATATCTGGTGGGATCCCTCTTTCATTGCTGTAATTGTTGTTACCACGGAAGGTGCATCTTGGAGAATTTTTCTTAGCACAATCGTCCCAACTGTGCTCTTCTGTGTTCTTATTTTAGATTTGCGTTGGTTTTTGGTATGACTGTATCATAAACAGTTGTGACTTTGGGTTTCTGGAGCAATGTATGGTTCTGGGCCTCTGACACTGAAGAAGACTGTAACTATTTGTGCAAAAACTGTTCTTTTAAATGTTACTATGACTGAGGCAGTTTTAATAAATTTAGGTCCATTCTCCGTTTCGATTCTTCTTTTGATTTGGTGGACATATATTACCTTTTCTCCTTCTTCTGTTTCAAAACAGACTAATAATTCTTCTTCAGCAAAACTTGGGTCTGTTGGTCTAATGACGCCTTTGCATGTAAGCCTGTGACTTGGGATAAATGCATTCCAACCCCTCTTGATAACGGTTGTGGAATTCCACTTCCAGTATATTACATCCACGTACTTTACCACGGAAAAGTACTTTTTTCAATTTCAAGATCTCTTAATTGTCCGATATTTTTATCAATAGCCGAGTATAGCATTTTTGATTTTGTTATATCCGTAATGCCTTTATATTTAAGTACTTTGCGAAATTGTGGTCCTGTCCCTTTTTTATTCATAAAATATCCTTGTTTCAGCATGTCACATGTTTCCATTAGGAAACTATTTTTAAATAAAATATCGTTGAAGTTAACTTCGTCAATATCTTATCGTTAATTTTCATTGTTTTCGTTGAATAAGTTACAAGTGTCTGTTACTGGAGGTGGCAAACCACCTCCGCTTTCGAAATCCATGTTGGATTCCTTTCACGCAGATTTTATTTTATTTCTTGTTTCACCAATTCCCGTTATAAACTACTTTTGGAATTAATAAATGAATAAGGGATTTTTTAACAGATTAAAAGCTTACCACGGGGCAGTTATATCGTCGTTTAGGAGCACAATTAATAAATTCACAGTGAGATGTCAACGTGACACGATCACGGTTGAAAGTATGGGATAGGTTATGTAAAAAGAATTTTTAAAATCAATCATGTCAAAAATTTGAAGGTTATCTCGATTTTAGGTTATGATGACTTTAAGATTTTTTTGTTTTTCAAAGAAATCAATAATCCCTCAACTTTGAAATTATATCTAAAGTAAAGACGAATTTTACTTTTATAATCTCGAAAAGTTTTGTTCGTTATTTTCCAATATTTTTATAAAAAATAATTTTTTAAATCTATCCTGTCAAAAATTTGAAGGTTATCTCACTTCTAGGTTATGGTGAGATTACGATTTTCTTTGCAAAGAAATTAATAGTGCATCAATCTTGAAATGATTTCCAAAAATACAGGTGAATTTTCCTTTTATATCCTCGAAAAGTTTTATTCGTTAATTTCCAATATTTTTTTAGAAAAAAATTTTAAAATCGTTGTTTAAATTTTGGAGGTTGTCCCAATTATAGGTTATTAGTTAGTTAGTTTTTCCGCCGGTAGGGTTTTGGAGTTTCAATTTCAGTTCATATAATTCTCCATTCGCAGATTTTAGGTTATGTTGAGTATCAGATTCTTTTTCAAAGGAATTAATACTCTCTCAATTATGAAATTATATCTAAAGTAAAGACGAATTTTCCTTTTACAACCTCAAAAAGTTTTATTCGTTGATTTCCAATATTTTTATCGAAAAAAATTTTTAAAATCAATCCTGTCAAAAATTTGGAGGTTATCTCAATTATAGGTTATTAGTTAGTTAGTTTTTCCACCGGTAGGGTTTTGGAGTTTCAACTTCAGTTCATATAATTCTCCATTCGCAGATTTTAGGTTATGTTGAGTATCAGATTCTTTTTCAAAGGAATTAATACTCTCTCAATTTTGAAATTATATCTAAAGTAAAGACGAATTTTCCTTTTATAACCTCAAAAAGTTTTATTCGTTAATTTCCAATACATTTTAAAAAAGAAAAAATTTAACATCACACCTGTCAATTTGAAGGTTATATAAATGTATAACAAAAATGTACATATTTCAACTCTATCCTATCCAACTGAACAAAAAAAGTACATTACATAAATATTTATTATTTGTAAGCACAACTTTTTATAAAAAAACTTTTTGTTTTAGATATTATGGATAAACATAATAATGGATGGACCTCCAGCTCAAAGTTTAGGTGTAGAACCGGTCGAAAAAGATGTGATACGACAAAAACCGAGAAACACCAAGGAACCAATGATTACAAAATCACTCATAGCGAACGTTTTAATTTCCGCTGTGGTTATTATATCAGGAACATTATGGGTATTCAAAAAAGAGGTTAGATTAACACCATAATTTAATTTTTTCGTTTTAAAAATGTTTTAATTACTTTTTAGCTAAGTTCTGAAGGAATCACAGCTCGCGATACAACAATGACATTCACATGTTTCGTCTTTTTCGACATGTGGAACGCCCTTTCGTGCAGATCCCAAACGAAAAGTGTTTTTTCGATCGGTCTTTTCACCAATAAAATGTTCCTGGTGGCTGTCACTCTTTCGGTTATCGGCCAACTCTTGGTTGTTTATTTTCCTCCTTTACAAAGCGTGTTTCAAACGGAAGCTTTAACAGTTTGGGGTAAATAAAAAGGAAATAATGATAGTTTTAATAAAAATAATAATTGTTGTTTTAGATATGATATTTTTAACGTTATTAACGTCGTCAGTTTGGGTTATATCGGAAATAAAAAAGCTGTGTGAACGATTATTGGAGCAACGTGGAAAAGGTAAACGTACGCCGTTGGAATACGTATGACATCAAAGGGGGCCAGGGGCTGACTCCCATCGCGATTAGCTGCTCTCCAAAATCTCGCCCCCAAATCAATGATATTAAGGCCCCCTTAGAATGTGCAAATGAAATCGAATAAACACATATTACATAATACACAGAAACATTTCCAATTTATTTCATTTTTTTTGTAAGTTTAAAAAAACGATTTTTATGTGTTGTTTATTTAATAAGTGTATTGCAAAAATAACTTTTTATATTATGCTAATTATTATAAACTAAGATTTGAATGTTGTGAATTTTTAGCGGTAACAAAGCGTTTTGCACATTTTAAGTTTTTAAAATTTAATCCCTAACAAAACAAGCAGCTAAGTAATCGATGAAAGAGCATTTGGCCTTTTTTTTATTTCATTCATTGATTATGTTAATCTCAGGCAAATAACGATTATTTATTCCGATTTTTCTCCACTTAAAAAGTGATTTCTTTTTTTTCTAACTTATTATTGTGTTGTCCTTTTTAGTCAATTGTACATTGAAACAAAAAAATCAAATATACAATGTTATTAAATGTTTTTTTTTGGTTTATGTTTTTTATTTTCCTTTTTTTTTAATTTGTTTAAGAGATACACCATTGTTTTTTTTTAATTAGTATTTAATTGCTCTAATTAATTGAATAAAAATTATTTTGATTTATTTTAGGATATTTGATTCCCAATTTGATGATTTTTTGTGGAGTTATTAAGACTAAAATTTTACCTCTATATCTCAAGAAGCCGTAAAGGTAGATTTAAAGATATTAATTAGAGCAACTTAGAGCTTAAATTATTTATTTAAATTTAAACAAAGTTTTATTTTCTTAGACAATCTTTTCAAGCCCATGAAATAGAACATAAAATTGTATTAACCAAGAAGAGCTTGGAGATTCGACCCAATAAGATTAAGAGTTGTGTAAATCAAATTTGTTTAAATAAAACATTTATGTGTCACAGTGGTGTATCTAAAATAATTTTATATTGCGGATCAAATACTTATGAAAACAATAGCAATATAACCTGCGTTACAGAGCAGATAATGTGTAAATAACGTTTTCATATTAATTATAAATAATAATAAGTAGAAATGTAACGTCTGATATGATAGAATTCCAAATCTATAATATAAAAATATAATAAACTTTAAAAGCTTACGTTTTTTGAGCGGAAAGAAAATCTTATATTTTTCTAAAATCAACATTCGTTGGGTTCATTAAAATTTCCGAGTTAAATTTGTTTGAGATAAAATAGTTCTGTGATACACTGAATCATCATTATTTAAATTAAATAAGCGTTGTGACAGTATTTTAAATGCTATTTATAAAAGAGTACTGCTTAATTTAAATTCTTATATATTATATATATCGTTGTTGCACTCGATCATAAATATACACTTTTAATATATATCGGAAAAGAGAAAACTCCTTTTTAAGTTAAACTTTTCATCTAAGCCTGTTGTGTAAATAACTTAATTAATGTAAACCTCGTAAAAATCACTATAATTGTGTGAACCTTGTAATGATTAACACGAAAACTTTGATTGTGTTGATTTTAACCAAATAAACGTACCGAATAAATCAAAATTTTTATTTCAAATTTATTTTATTTAATTAATACAATACATACTCGTACAGTTGAGCACGGAAAAGGGAATATATACAGTGTGTTAATTAATTATCGTACCACAAGGTCCGTTGATATGAACGTACCCTTCCGCAAACGCCTTGCTGTGACGTCATTTTAAGAAATGACTTTTCTATGTTTTTATTTATACAGTGTATTTCACTTAAGAAGCAATACACAAAAATAAAAAAAAGTATATAAAATAAAATAAAAAGAATATTAAAACAAAGAGAAATATTAACGGTTATAATTTTATTATTGTTAGGTTATCCAACTTGACTCGGTTACCATGGTGATTAAGATCCAAATATGGCAGATGCTTGTTAAAATTGAATTTAAGTTTTTTTTAGGAAAAAGTCTTATTTAATTGGTTTAAAAGGCTGTATTTAACTCAAAATTGGTTTATCTAGGGAATTATAAACAAGGTAAGTGGATTAAATCAAAAAAAGATATTTTTAGATCAGTTAAAATGTACAAGAATTTAGGGTTAAATAACAATTAAAACTAGAATTAACACTAGACCTAGAACTAGAAAGTTTTAGGTTTAACCGGGCGTTTTAGACAATAACTTAGAAAAGTCTAAGTCTGAAGACGCACGTGTAAACCCGAATATTTCTATTTCTAGGCCTAGTGAACACGACACCTAGAACTAGAAACAGTCGAATTTAGTCGTGAAAAAATCTTTAAGTTGTCAATGTCAACTTTAATTTTATTATTGTATTCGTAATGTTCATAAAATAACCTTTAAAACATAGATAACTTATATAGATGTGACATTTACGTAAAATTTTTGTACACGCCACCAGCGCTCCGAACGGCTCGGCCCAGTACTAATATTAAATAGCGGCTAACGTGATAAATCTAAAATTTAATATTTTCTAATTTTTTTGTGTGGAATTAAATAAAAAAATAAAATCATTTGTGGATTTTAATAATCTTTTTATTAAAATTATTATCATAAACATAAAGTCTTATTTTAATATAAAAGAACAATAACTATAAACAATGTGTAATAATTAATGATACTGTTAAAAATTTTACGAAGTAATTTAACTCTTCGGTATAAGGTGAAATATTACCGCGAAAAAGTGATAAATTTACCTAAATTCTAATAGGTTGCAACACGTTTGAGAGTCAAAATAACTTTGTTAAAAGATGTTAAAAATACGGTGTTAATCTGTTTATTCCTCACAGTGTAACTTTACACTTTATAATACCTTATACCCCTTTCCATTTTGTAGCATTAAATGTAATGCCAATATTGTGTCTAAACTTGAAATTGACTGCTTAAAAAGTTGTCTCTTTGGTAATAATTTTCTTTTATTTCTTTAGGATATTATACTCTGGCGCTGGAATTTCCTCTTATACATCACTGCTTTCCTGTATAAATGTTGAGCTTTTGGTGATAAGTCGTCTTGTTTGTGGACACCAACTTCCTCCAATAAACTCTCCCTTTGTTTAGCTGTCAAAAAATATCCAATAATGATCCCGATTAACGCTGTTTCCCCATTAAGCGGGGTTACCCTGTAATATGAAATCAAACTTTAAAAAAATTATACTACATTCTTTTGTAATAAAAGGGAAATTAAACGTTTTTTGAATGATGTTTCGTTTATTAATAAATAACTCTTATTAAGAGTTATATGCCATTATAGATAATTTAACCAGAGCTTTTCAAAATAAACGATTTATAAAACACATAATTTCTTACCTGAAGTCTCCAATGAGATTGCACTGGTGGATGTTGAAGCAACCTAAAGTCCCATATCTGCATGTGGAATAGTGGGCGTGTTATTCGAAGCACTTGAAGTACTGACTTCTAAGTACTGATATCCTACATGTGAAAAAAAATGCCTCAGTCCTAACAACATTTTGATAATTTTATACACATACTGGCAAATTTGATGATGGTACTACTCCTTTCAACAATTTGTTGTTACGTCCAACATCCTCTCGTCGAAAAGGCTTATCACAAACTCGAAAATTATTATAAACCCTCAAGTGTTCACACTGAAGCAGGTTTTCTCGCACACAACATAAAACCCATCTTTGATATATTTCTGGATACATTTGTAGGTTTGGAAATCGGTAGAAACTTCCATACCTTTGTAAGCATCCACTAATGGCGCAACTTTTTGACATTTTCTGCTACAAGAAAATAAGATGCATATATATTTATTTTACAAATACCTAATCCAGTTCCATAATCAATGTTTAAATTTCAGAGGTTTTTTATGAGCATTAGTTTCCATATTATTTTAAGGGCAACTTATATTTAAAAATTTATTGTGAAACTGGAGATCATAATATAATAATATGAAATAAATAAAAAAAAGTATATCAAATGTACTTACCACGAATAAAATTTCGTAAATTTCTTTAAAATTTACTATCAAACACAAAGCCGCATCAAAACACTAACCAACTTGACAAACAACTTAGAAAACAGTAGAAAAACAAATTGACGAAACGACTACTTAAATCCTAAAATAATTATTAATTTAAACTGCCAAGACAAAGTAGATATCTACATAAAATAACGCAATATAACGCCATCTATCCCGTCGGCCCGATACTAAAAATGACATCACTTTGTACGAACACGACGTTAATAAGTGCCAGGGGTATGACTTTAAAATGAGTCCAAACTTGACGTATTAATCTCAAAAAAACAAAAAAGTTATTAATGATATTTATGATATTTATTAATGAAAATATACTTCCGGTTTGAAACGTCAACGTCAATTGTGACATATTTGGCATTTTCATTAAAAAACCTTTAAAATGAGTCCAAAGATGACATTTATCTCAAAAAAACAAGAAAGTTAGAATTAAAACGTTAAACCTGAAGTTAGCAATTTAATTTTTAAATATTAATACCAACCTTAATTTTTTTATTATATTTTTGTTTTTGTGACAAATATTAAGACATTTTATAAAAATTAAGAATATATCAAAATGACATTGACATTTCAAATCGGAAGTTGCTTATATCTCGAGTAATATTGGAATTAAACGTATCATGTTTGGGCTCATTTTAAAGGATTTTTCACGACGATTACAAATATGTCAAAATTGACGTTGACATTTATTTGTAACCAAAAGTTGACCATAAATTCATTAATATTGAAGATAAATATGTCGTGTTTGTACTCATTTTAAAGGATTTTTAATGAAGATTACAAATATGTCAAAATTGAGGTTCACATTTTTAACCTGAAGTCAGTTATCATATAATTCGTTCGAGTTGGATAACCTTATAACCAATACTCAACGGACCTTGATCGCAAGGTCTATAGAACATAAGGTTACCCAATGCCGATTCTCGTCCTCTGAGGGGCAAGGTGGGTCAGTGACGTAGCTGGTTCGATAAATAACAGAACACGATGCGAGGTTTAAATATTTTATATAGACTATACCACAGTATAGGCTATCTTTTACTCAACTCTACTCTGACTGTATCGAACCAGTGACGTCATTCTGCGGGGTAATAATCGAGACTACAGAGGCATAGGGAATTAGGTAACCTTATGTTCTATAGACCTTGCTTGATCGTACCCGACGTCATTATTGGTATTGCAAATCGCATATACTGTGATATTGGTTGCATACTTGCAATGATGACGTCGGGTACGATATAGTATATTGTGTCTCAAGGGCAGAAAATAAGCATTAGCAGCCCAAGGCTATTAGATGCCCGAGCGAGCGTAGCGAAGCAACGGCATCTGCTGCAGCAACTGCTAGCAGATCTAGTCTTCTGCTAACGGTATCTAGCCTTCTCCAAGCAATATCTAGTCTTGGATTACCTGCATTTACAAGTATCTAGTCTTTTGGAAGTAGTATTGTCTTTTACCAGCAGAACATATTTCTCTTTTAGCAATATTTAATCTTCTACCAACAATATCTACTCTTCTCCAAGCAATATCTGCTCCTCCAGTATTACAATCTAAAAGTATACCAACAGTACATATTTAACTTTTTCAAATAGTATCTAATTTTCCATTAGTCCAGGCTAGAAATATGCCAGCAATACCTAGTCTTCTGTCAGCAGTGAATAGTCGAATACTATAGAACTATGTTAACAATATCAAATCTTCTGGAAGTAACGTCCTGTCTTTTGCCAGCAGTATACAATCTTCTGTCAACAGTATCTAGTCTTATTCAAACAATATTCAATCATCCACCATTAGTATCTAGAAGTGTGTCAATATTATTTAGTATTTTCTAAATAGTATCTAGTCCTTCATTAATAGTATCTAGAAGTATGCCAACAGTATCCAATGAAGAAGTATGCTAGCAGTATCTGGATATAACATCTGGTCTAAAACTATATTAAGCTTCCTTCTGGGTTAGGTTCAAGGGAGTACTGCTCCATGCAGGTATGTGTATATTGAAGTCCTCCATTATTAAGAAATTTTATATTTTTCTAAAACGCATAATCTTTGATTGTGTTGGTCTTAACCAAATAAATGTACAAAATAAATCAAAATTTTTATTTCAAATTTATGTTACAAAAGACTCTTAAACCTATTAAATATTCTCTATTTGTTTTTAAAGTAACATTAAAAAACTTATCTACCTCCAAACCCTCTCCCACCCCTATTAAATCCACCCCCGCGTCCCCCGAACCCTCCAGATCCCCTTCCACCCCTACTAAATCCACCACCACGTCCTCCACCTCCTCCTCGCCCACCAAATCCACCTCTCCCCCCAAATCCCCCTCTCCCTCCGCCTCGACCTCCAAATCCTCCTCTACCACCACCCCCACCCCCGCGTCCACCTCCTCCTCGTTTCTTTTGAACACTCCCCGGTGCTTTTGGAAGAAACCTTTGTAACGGTAATAATTTAGCAGGATCTATATAAAGTTTTTGATTCTTTTTAAAACTTTTCGCGTTCATGTTATCCCCCAATCGAATGCTGACATAATAATCCCTAATATTCCCGAATATCTCATCGACTTTTCCAATTTGTTCCTTATTTTCCAAATAAATCGGCGCATTAAAAAAGGGAACGTCTTCGATCTCAACTTTACAAACGAGATCGTCTTGTACGGGGTAATCAAAATAACCTAGAGGGATTACGGTTTCTGGGGGACCTTGATCAAAATTTCGACCACCTCCGAAACTGTTTCGATTGCCACCGCGGAATCCTCCACCCCCGCGGCCCCCACCGCCTCCTCGACCTCTTCCACCACCGCCGCGTCCCCAAGACATATCTATTAAAATAATAATTAATGTTTGTAATTATTTATTATAATAACGTTTGTTTACTTACCGATAAATTTATTTTGTAATTATAAGATGGAAGTTATTTAATTTAAACACAACACAACACTTTAAAAAAAAGCGTGGAGGACAGCGGGATACGATAAAAGTGAGGTTAGAACACGTGTGTTGTCACAATGCTGCCAACATTAAATTAAAAAAATAACTAATCGTTTTTGATTTATTCATATTCAAATTAAAAAAAAAGATTTTATTTTTTAATCCTATATTTAATGTTTATTCTTTTTTTAATCAATAATCAACACACTCTAATAACTATAATTTATGAAGAGTTTAACTTTTCCCCCAAATAATAAGTAAGGTTATGTTTATTCTGAAATGTCACTTTAAAAACGAACTGATTAATAGGTTTGTTCCAACAAGCGGTCGGACTCGTCCGTTACCTCCGTTACTCGTCAAATGCAATCGCACACGTCAAGTAATGTCGTCACATTTCAGCGGATTTCATTGCATTATTTAACTGTGCGATTGCATTTGACGAGTCCACGACGAGTCAAACCGCTGGTTGGAACAAACCTATTATTTATTTACTCCAAATCCCATTGCCAAGCCTTATCATTGTGAAGAAGAAGAAGAAGAATATTTATTTACGTTTGGAAAGTATTAAAGCACTTAAATGGTACTTAAACAGCGCTGTTATCATAATAATATAATTAACGAAAGAAAAAAATTGTGTCTCAAATAAATATCAAATATACACGTACCTAAGAAGTTGAATTACCGGGAGTAAATAAAACCAATTATCAGTGAACTTCCCATTAATCTTCTTTTCATCAATTCTTCGCGGTAGTGAACACTAATACAAATATTTGTTTAAATCACATTTAAAATGGATGAATAAAAGATACTTGACTGAAGCCTTTGGTCAAGTTAAGAAACAGGAAGTTATTAATATATTAGAAGATGAAAATATACCAGCACAAATAATACACCAACAATACTACTAAAATAAGGACTACCCAAGGCACAAGTGAAGAAATACATATAAGCAAAGGAGTTAGACAGGGAGTTTCACTAAGTCTGTTTTTGTTCAACCTATTAATGAACAGCTAGCAGCTAAACAATACAATATGAAAATAACAAAAACAATGTTAAACAGTGAAGACCTCAACCTTTCTCTAGAAGTAAGGAGGATTGCAGCAGCATCTGGCAGAAGATTTAGTATTTTATTAGCTATATCTAGTTTTTTGGAAGTAATTTCTAGTTGTTTTGCTAGCAGTATATTGCTCTAATCTTCTCCAAGCAGTATCTATTTTACCATTAGCAGTATTTACAAGTAAACAATATAACACTGTCAGCAGTATGTAACCTTGTATCGCCAGTTTCTAGTAGTTAATAGCTTATAGTCTTCTGCCAGCAGTATTATCTACTATTGGCAGTATCTACAGTACAGCAGTAGTATCTCATCTTCTATTAACAGTATATAGTAGATGCTACAGCAACTACCAACAGTTTCTAGCCGTCTCCAAGCAATACCTAGTCTTCCATTAGCTGCATTTAGAAGTATGCCAACAGTATCTAGTCTTTTGGAAGTAATGTCGTCTTTTACCAGTAGTACATAGTTCTCTTTCAGGATTACTTAATCTTCTACCAACACTATCTATTCTTCTCCCAGCAATATTTGCTCCTCCACTATCACAATCTAGAAGTATACCAACAGTAGTCCATTAGTATGGGCTAGAAATATGCCAGCAATACCTAGTCTTCTGTCAGTAGCATATAGTTGAATACTACAGAAGTATGTTAACAATATCAAGTCTTCTGGAAGTAATGTCCAGTCTTTTGCCAGCAGTTATCTGTCAGCAGTATCTAATCTTGTGCCAACAGTATCTAGTCTTCTTCAAGCAATATCCAGTCATCCACCATATAGAATATATGGTATCTAGAAGTGCATCAACATTATTTAGTATTTTCCAAATAGTATCTAGTCTTTCATTAGCAGTATCTAGAAGTATGCCAGCAGTATCTGGATATAACATCTGGTCTAAAACTATATTAAGCTTCCTTCTGGGTTAGGTTCAAGGGAGTACTGCTCCATACAGGATGTGTATATTAAAGTCCTCCATTAACATGAAATTGATTTTACTTTAAAATGACAAAATTAAAATTTTTGTAATTTATTTACTTGAAATTACCAACTAAAAGTTTACACACATTAACAATTTAATTTTATTAACATACTAAAGATGATACAAAAATATTCAAATGAAATCATTCTTTTTAATATTCAGAATCCGGTCTCTCCAATAACCACTGCTTAATAGAAGGGATTGCTAAGACTTTTTCTCTCAATTTAACAAGATTCGAGTACTCCGCTATAATATCTTTCTTAAGAACTCCATTACAATAATCCAAGAGGCTGACAAAGTACAAATCTGCCCAAGTCAACCGTCCAATAGCCAAATATCCATCATTTGCAGCCGTTATAGAATCAAATCTTGTTAGGTAATAAGGAATCGTTTCCTTGGTTAAGTTGTCTTTGAGCACCTCTTTTCTCGTATCATCTTTTTCAGTGTTAAAAACAGCTATCTCTAAACGAAAAAATTTGAAATCAATGTTTAAGGGTTAAATCAAAATATTACTTGATCGAAAATCTGTGATTGTATCAACGATCGCATCGATTTCTAAATTTTCCAAGTCGTTATTTCCGGTGAGATTAGTCAATTTTGCCAAATATCTGCTGATTGCTACGCTTTGATGAACCATTTTTCCATCCATTTCCAAAACGGGTACTTGACCAAACGGCATCTCTAAAAACAATTAAATAATGTATTAATAAAATTACATAAATGATAAAAAAAATAGAACTTACTGTCTTTTACGTTTGGCCATTGTGCAACATCTAATCGGAAGTCCTCAAATTCTATTTCACCATATTTTAGAAGAAATCGAATCGGTTCCGCTAAAGCTTTTATGGGAAAATAAGTTAATTTGTATGAATTGGACTCATTAGACATTTTATTGGATTTTTTTTCTGACGCAAAGCAAATTGATCCACAATATTTTTTAAAACAAAAAAATCTGCAATAGATTTAATTAAAATAATTTTAAAAGTTATGTTAAAATATAAAAAGAATTTCACTGGTAGCGATCTCGTCAAATCTGACGGTATTGATAGCACAATATTACTTACAATATTGCTTAAACCTGTAAATGGTAGTTTTAGCCACTTTCTCTATATGCAAATGCAAAAGAGATAGGCTAAGCAGAACATCTATTGTTAGAGTTGGCGTTATCCATGAGAGAGTTTTGTCTAATATAGGATTACTCCTAGATATTTGAGAAAGGAATTTCACCCAGTTGGGCACAACGATTGTCTTTTGTGGGGTTATCGAGAGATTCTCTTCCTTACACCAAGCACAAATTGCTGGAAATGTTTTGTCGATATGACTTAAAACCCACCATCACTGCAGCAACAAGGATAACGAAACGGAGTAGCACACTTATAGATAACATTTATATTAATGTAATAACTTATAACAGTGAAGTATTTTAGTATCAGCTCTATCTGACCATAATGCTCAAAAAATAACTTTTCCTGCAACTGACCATCGCGATAACCGAGGAATTAAAATTATAAATAAATGCGTTTTCAGTAAAAAGAAATAGAAATGAATTTTGAGTTATAAATAGCTCAATTACTAAAAAGACCAACCATAAAGTAATTAGAAATAAGTCTCGTTTAGAGGATAAAAGATGTTTAACCAATACAGAACACTGTTAAATCGAATATAGCTATGAAAGTTTTGATTGCATGTAATGAAGATTTCCTGCATAGACTAGTGTATTACTTGAACATAGCAGCGAAGCAATATAATATGAAAATATCGAAAACAGTGAAGTTTTCGATCATTCTCTAGAAGTAAGGAGGATTGCCGCAGCATCTGGCAGAAGATTTTAGTATTTTATTAGCTATATCCAGTTTTCTGGAAGAAATTTCTAGTTATTTTGCCAGCAGTATATTGTTCTAATCTTCTCCAAGCAGTATCTAGTTTTTCATTAGTATATTACACTACCAGCAGTATGTACCCTTGTATCGCCAGTTTCTAGTAGTTAGCAGTTTATAGTCTTCTGCCAGCAGTCTGCTTTTCTATTGGTAATATCTACAGTACACCAGTAGTATCTCATCTTCTATTAACAGTATATAGTAGATGTAGGTACTCTTAGAGCAAAAGTGTGCAATCAGTCCTGCTGCAACAACTACCAACAGTATCTAGCCGTCTCCAAGCAATATCTAGTCTTCCATTAGCAGCATTTAGAAGTATGCCAACAGTATCTAGTCTTTTGGAATGTCGTCTTTTACCAGTAGTACATAGTCCTCTTTCAGTAGTATTTAATCTTCTACCATAAATATCTCAGAGTCACCTGGGATCAAAGAAACTCTATTATCACAACTCAGTGTGTTTAAAGTTCTTTTACAGTCATTTTCATGGTCTGCAGCACCTGGAGAGCGGCTTGACTGAGAAAAATCGTACTCTCATGTTCTTCACCCCTCTCAAGAAGGATTTTAGCACCCCTGGCAATAGCAAATACTTCCGCCGTATGATAGCACGATATCACTGCTTCCGCAGCCCATTAGTCATGTCGGAACAGTTTTCAGCATATTGCTTAAACCTGTAAATGGTAGTTCTAGCCACTGTCTTAGTCCACCCAGTTGGGCACAACTATTGTCTTTTGCGCAAATTGCTGGAAATATTTCGTCGATATGACTTCACCATCACTGCAGCAACAAAGATAACGAAACTAAGTAGCACACTTATAGATAACATTTATGTTAACTTAAAAACTTATAACATTAAAGTATTAATATCAGCTCTTTCTGACCATAATGTTAAAAAAATCGATTATAGCTGTGAAAAAATCATTTCGACTCTACTTAACGGATCCCATAGAAGTAAAATCTATTATTATGTTAAATAACACTCATACGGTTTGTTATGATAATATTCCAATTTCTGTTCTAAAAAAGTGCATTGATGAAATTGCAGAACTATTGAGCAGCGTCATAAACTGCTCTTTCAATTCAGCAATATTTCGAATGAATCAGATAAAATGAATAGAGAAATAAATCAGATTTTACAAATTACTGACCAATTGCACTAATTCCTAACACTGCAAAAGTTTTTGAGTAGCTTGTCCTGAAAAGACTAAAAGATTATGTTACCAAGAACCAAATACTTAACCAGTCCTAAAACGGTTACATAAAAGGCAGATCTGTAACCAGAGCAATTTTCCAGTTATTTGAACGAATTCAAACTGGAATTAATTATTGTATAATCATGAACCTAACCTAACGCATTGGCTGGACACTGCCAATGCTGTCTTGTATGATCAAAAACTGGTGCTGAAGTTACTTCAGACTGGACAAAGGTTATATGAAATTTATAAATTCAAGAGAAAGAAAGACTACACATTATTGAATGATCAAATTGACATCGAATATAACCCTTTGTTTAAATATTTAAAAGATTTATAATGTGGTGCAAATTTTGTCATTTGTTGATTTTATTTTTTAAAGTTTATAATATTTCTTAAAAATTCATATCATTTTTCACTTAGGCTCTTGTATATATAGGTTTTATTTTTCAAAGTCTTTTTAAAGTGTTTTAAAATATTTTATCCATACAAATTTTATTTATACACTGTGTTTTTGACTTTAATCCTTCGCAATAACATACATCTTTATTGTTTAAATACTTAATATGCATCTTTTCATAATTTTTGTTTTAATGGCGTCGTGGGTTTCTTTTTAACTATTTGACAGTAAGTTTACGAATGTAACATTTTTATTATGTTTTTCATTATGTTTATTTGTTCATATTGAAAAATTTTTTACGTAGATTCGGCTGATGATGAGCTAAGCTCGAAACCGGCTCCGAATAGATTGATATTAAGCAAGTAAGAAGTTTTTTTATATAGTTTAAATTTTTATATTTAAAACTTGCAATATGAATCCCAAACATATAAAATCTCTTGTTGCAGTTTTGTCTAGTTTTCTTCACTTCGCTTGTATTCATCATCACATTCGATTATTAATTAAAGTATCCTCTTTTTAATGCAAAAAGTCGATTTGAAAAATAACTTTTAGTTTTTGAGAAAACAATATTTGAAGTTTCAAAGCAATTTTCATCGATAACTTATTGATAGCCGGATATCCGGCCGAAGGGGATGCCGAATATCCGGTTTTTCGCAAAATCACTTTCCGTTCCATCACTACTCTTTATCCTATACATCAATGATCTTCCAGAAGTGATGAAGGATCTATTAATCCTTTTTGCTGATGACACCACTGCAATATTAACTACAAAAACTGAGTCACAAATGTCAAAATTGGTTCAGCTCAATCTAGGTAAACCCCAAACTTGGTTTTCAAATAACAACTTACAAAAAACAAACGTTATTTATAACAATACGAACTAGAAAATATTTTACTATCAAGCATATTGCGGATCTAACCCGCTATAGTTGATTCCACTTCTCTCTCAAGAGCATTCTAGAGTACTTCAAGAGATTGTGGTATTGCGTTGTTGAACGCACCTTCTATATCCAAAAACATTTTTTTGTTACTCACAAATATATTAAAGATTTTATTAATTGTATAACAGGCTATAATAATTTTAGTTAAAAAATAACAGCTAAAAAATACAGAGAAAAGATTTGTTCATATTCATTAATTTATCTAATTCGTTCCTCTTTTTTCAACGAGCTTCATAAGTTACTTTTGATGTTCGTATCCTTTCAAGGTCATATAAACACCTTCATCTTCATTAACAGATTCGTGCTGAGCAAGAATATGAAGCAACGGGCGCAATTTTAACCACCACTGATTCTTTGGTATACGATGCCTGATAAAAGAAAAATATCACATCAAAAAGACCAAATTTAAAACTTAACTCACTCAAAATCGGTTTCCGCAACTAGCGCTTCAACAGGAGTGTATTTATACTGTTTCCCAACTATTCCCAAAACAACAGCGGTATCAGGACCAGTTGCTTTCTCTTTAATTTTAGTGGCCAACCAATTAGCAACTTTCGATCCCATTTTAGTGGCTAAGTTCCGATCGAACGGCGAAGGAGTTCCACCTTGTTGCATGTGCCCCAATACGTTCATTCGTGCGCTAAATAAGCCTTTTCCTTCTTCTGCGTATAATTTGTGTAAGAAGACGGTGTCGTAATATTGAGAGGATTTTTCGTTACGCAAAACTAATCCTCTTTGAACCCCACCAGCCATTTTTGTGCCCATGTGTTCTACATCTATGTGAAGATCTTTAATTGCATGTTTTTCTTCGAAAATATAAGCGTTATCTGCACCACCTAAAAAGATTGATTCAAAAATGTTTAATAAAAAAAAGATTAATTTAATAAAACCTCGATATAATTTATTAATCCGTCATATCGAGGTTTTACTGTTATATGATTTATATTTACTTGCTAATCCGGCTAATGTAGCTAAATACCCACAATAACCCCCCATAGTTTCAACAACAAACACTCTTCGTTTCGTTCCAGCCGCTGATTGTCGGATACGGTCGCAAATTTCCGTAATTTCATTGACAGCGGTATCACAACCTAAACTAAAATGAGTTCCAGGAACGTTGTTACTAATAGTTGCGGGGATAACAGCCATTGGGAGTTTATATTGGGAATGTTTATCGCGATTTTGATACATTCTAAGTACCCCTTCGTAAGCTTCAAAACCGCCGATAACCAACAAACCGTCCAATTTTAATTCGCCTATTTTTTGGGCAATCAACGGCAAACGATTTCCAATGGCCGAATGTTTCGTGCCCAAGTTAACACCGCCTTGAGCGACCCAACCGATTACATCTGACCAACCAAGGTTTACTGTAGTCCCCTGCGCGAAACCTTCAAATCCGTTTTGAATTCCGATTACTTTTGTGCCATGATAAGCAATGGTTCGGACGAATGAACGTACGGCTGAATTTATTCCGCAAGCGGGGGCTCCAACGTTAACTACACCAACAGTAAACTCCTAAACGAAAAAATTAATACAATTTAAATTTAATTCGAATAAAAAAATCTTACAGGGCCACTTGTATGCGGTGGTTTTAATCTTGTAAGCATTCTAAATGTGTCTAAATTTCGATGAAAGGATTTTCCTCTTAATTCCACAGCTTTTTGATGCTCCCTATTCTTCATAGCCTAAAAATCCGCGCCATAAAATGCTTCATCTTTGATTATAATTAGCCCCAACTTACTTTAGCTACTTCTTTAGTTCTATTTACACAATCCATAAGTGGTAATCTGATGATTTGATTTCCACTTATTGTGACTACGCAAGGTTCTGACGTAGGGGTTGATTCAACTAAAGCCAAAACAGCTTCTGCTCCCATTCTACAACCCTAAATAATAAAAATAAAGTTAATAAATCAAATATAAAAGACTAAATAATTTTACCAAGATTCTATCAAAAGCTGATGGTCGACCACCTCTTTGTACATGTCCTAAAATGGTTATCCTCGCATCTTGATGTAAATTTTTCACGATCGCTTCTTTGATTTGTTGAACGGTAATTGCTTGACCAGCTTGATCAACAGCCCCTTCAGCTACGATGATTGTGTTTAGCCGTTTTCCGGCTTCCCTTTCCTAAGATGAAGTTAAATTTGAATCAAATTTGCCCTAAATTTGTTTAAAAAAACAACAAGTGGGGTGGTTTTGAGGTATTAAGGAATTTTTGATTCGAATCAATCATAAAAGTGTCTCTAAATGTTTTTGGTGTCTTCTTATATTCATTTAGTATTACCTCAACAAGTTTTTTACCCATTGCCTCTTGCCAATTAGCAGGTGCTGGACTTTCCGGCACAAATAAATAATCAGCTTCACCGGCTAATGCACCAACTAAAGCTAGATAACTGTAATTTTAAATAGATTAAGTAAAATAATTATAAATGTTGAATCTAAATTAATTCGAATCAAGATTAAAGGGAAGCTAAAATAGAAAGGAATATTTTAGGAATCGAAGAGAAACGAATCCCAACTCAACCCCCTTTTCTTAGAAAAAACACAACAATCAAAAAGTCCTACAAATTTTCTAACCTCTTTTAATTTTTCACACATTTGTTCTACCCAGTCTTCAGGTGGCGGCATCTCTGGGAAAAAAATGTAATCTGCTTCTGTTGCTAATCCTGATGCTAAAGCTAAATAACTACAACAAAAAATTATTACTTTCTTTTATTGATTGAAAGATAACACAGAAATAGATAATTTGTAAATAAATTTTGTAATTATAGCTAAAATAAATACTAGTAATCTGTCAAAAAATCGAAACGTCAAAAATACGAACTCGTTTAAGAGTAAGAACATAAAAAATATGTTCTTGTCTCAACTGTAGGGTTGCGTTTAAATTCAACGAGGAATGAAGTTCAAAAAATATTATCTTACGTTCAAATTTTTTGCTATAATTCCCTTCAAGGTAAAATTTTTAGGGTTTCGGTTGGTGTTATCTAGGGTCCCTATAAAATTAATGTAGTTTTCTAATTTCTAATAACATTTTCGGTAACTTAATAATTGAGGTTAAAAAGTACAAATTAGCCGTAAAAACGCACTAGAAACTAATTAAAGTATTTATTTAAGTATTCTTGAATATGTAAAGTTTAAACATCAATGTGACATAAATAGATTTCAAAACATGACGTAACAAAATTTCCTGTTAATCTTACCAACTATTACCAACTTTACCCAATTTGGTATGTATTACACCAAAAAAAGCATAATTGAGACATTAACTTGAAATAAAAAGCATTTTAAAATAAATTTAATCCTATTTTAACACACAAAAAATAATTCCTTCATTCTTCTATATCAGAATATCAAGATTTTTTTTAATGACAGCCCGGAGAAGTTTTTAAGGTTAGCTATAATTTTAAATATATCTCAAAAACTAAATGAGATATTATCATGAAACAAAAAGCATTTTAAAGCAAATTTAATTAATATTTAGTGTGTTGAAAACTATTTCTTTATATCTATAAATCTCAACGTTATGATTTTCTTTTCTCTCCAAATATCCTCTTATGACAGGTTGAGGTTATGTTTAAATTTAAAAAAAATCATACTTTAAGAAGTAATTGAGAAATCAAGTTGAACCAAAAAGCATTTTAAAGTAGATTTAATCCTATTTTAATACACAAAAAATAATCACTCCATTCTTCTATATCAGAATATCAAGATTTTTTTAATGACAGTTCGGAGGAGTTTTTAAGGTTAGGTTGATTTACATAATTTTAAATATATCTCAAAAACTAAATGAGATATTATCGTGAAACAAAAAGCATTTTAAAGCAAAGTTAATTAACATTTAGTGTGTTGAAAATTATTTCTTTATACCTATAAATCTCGACGTTATGATTTTTTTATTTTCTCTCCAAATAACCAAGGTCTATAGAACATAAGGTTACCCAATACCGATTCTCCTCCTCTGAGAGGCAAGGTGGGTCAGTGACGTAGCTGGTTCTATGAACAACACAACACCACCTATACTGTGGTACAGTCTATATAAAATATTTAAACCTCGCATCGTGTTGTCACGTATAGGCACATGTATAGGCTATCTTTTATTCTGACTGTATCGAACCAGTGACGTCAATTTGCGGGGTAATAATCGATACTACAGAGGCATAGGGAATGAGGTAACCTTATGTTCTATAAACCTTGCCAAATAACCTCTTATGACAGGTTGAGGTTATGTTTAAATTATAAAAAATCATACTTTAAAAAGTAATTGAGATATCAAGTTGGAATAAAAAGCATTTTAAAGTAGATTTCATCCTATTTTAATACACAAAAAATAATCACTTCACTCTTCTATATCAGAATATCAAGATTTTTTTGATGACAGCCCGGAGGAGTTTTTAAGGTTAGGTTGATTTACATAATTTTAAATATATCTCAAAAACTAAATGAGATATTATCATGAAACAAATTTAATTAACATGTAGTGTGTTGAAAATTATAATTATCTTTATTCCTATAAATCTCGACGTTACGATTTTTTATATTCTCAAAATATTCTTTTGACAGATTGAGGTTATGTTTAAATTTAAAAAAAATCATACTTTAAAAAGTAATTGAGATATCAAGTTGGAATAAAAAGCATTTTAAAGTAGATTTCATTCTATTTTAATACACAAAAAATAATCACTCCATTCTTCTATATCAGAATATCAAGATTTTTTTTAATGACAGCCCGGAGATGTTTTTAAGGTTAGGTTGATTTTCTTCATTTTAAATTTATTATATCTCAAAAACCATTAAAAAAAATCATACTTTAAGAAGTAATTGAGATATCAAGTTGAAACGAAAAGCATTTTAAAGTAGATTTAGCCCTATTTTAACACACAAATACAATTCTTTCATTCATCAAAATCAGAATGGCAAATTCTTTTTAATAATAAGTAGTAACTCCAAGTAGTTTTTAACAGTAGGAAGAATCTGTACCATAGGCGAGATATTAGAAATGTGATTGGATAGGAAATATACAGGGAAGTTGGGGTTGGGTTGGGAGACATAAGGATAACTCCTAAGCATTTATACATGGTCATATTGTAAAATAAAAGTTTGTTCAATTTCTAATTAACTTACCCACAATTTCTACCCATAACTTCCATAATAAAAGTACGTTGATGAGAATAAGCAGTGTATCCAATGGCATCCACTGCTTCGATAATCCGATGAAGAGCACTATCGCTGCCGATGGTAGCATCGGTTCCACAAAAATCGTTATCAATGGAACCAACAAGACCAGCGATATTTAAAACGTCATGTTTCTTTCGTTCCTCTTGTGTAATTTGGTTGTCTTTTAAGAGTTCGTCTAATAAAGATGCCCAACTTTGACGGAAAATATTTGCGCCAGTTAAAGTACCATCACCGCCTATTATGACTAAATTTTGAATACCACGTTTTACCAAATTTTTAGCAGCTTTCTTTTGTCCCTCACGAGTCCTATAATTATAATCAAAAACATTAATGATTTGGTATGCTAGAACTAATTGGACTATAAGAAACTAATATAACTAATGAAATAAAGTTACCTAAAGTCTTTACATCTTGCAGAACCAATAATAGTCCCACCCATATGTATAATAGAGCTAACTGATGACCATTTAGCCTCCTCAATGAATTTTTCACCATCAACCATACCTACAAGATTAACCTCCAAATATAAATCATTATTTACTTTTAAATGAAGTACCTTGATATCCTTCCCTAATAAAAAACATTCTGCAACCGAGGTAAAGCCCCATTCTTACTATTGACCTTACTGCTGCATTCATACCCTAATAATAAAGAAAAAAAAACATTATAAGAAAAATTAGGAAAAATAAGTTATAATGTTTTACCTGTGAATCTCCACCACTGGTAAATAAGGCGATCCCTTTACCTTTATGGGACCCCTTAGTCCATACATGGTTACCTTCAGACATTTTTTTCTACAAAAGAAGTCTAATTGATGAAAATGAAGATGCCAAAAAGATGTTTAGGGCGAGGATGTTTCCCCTTAATTTTAAATTTTACATAAAAACGATATTTAATGGTGCTTATTTTAAATATCGGTGCAAATTTTATTCCGGAATCGATAATTTTCGAGACTTAAACGCGATAACAACACGAAATCACAATTTGAAATGTTGGTGAAGTGAAGGTGACCTTTTTCTTATACAATTTTAACTGCGCATGCGTGATTGATGTTTCAAAATTTAAATTAGAAGGATTAAATATACTTTTCTTTTATTTATAGATTATTTTTATTTATCTAGATAATAAAGATATTGAGTTAGGTTTTGAAAGTTTTTGAGGTTAGAATGAAATAGAATCAAATTTTAGTTTTTTTATTGTTGTAAATATGTTTATTTAGTGTTGCCGATAGAAATTAATAAAAAAATATTAATTATTTATGGTTAATTATAAATTATTATAAGTAATTTTACTTAATTTCAATTTTAGGTACAAAATTTGCAAAAAAGCTCCATCTATCGATGAAAAATTAAACTAAAAATCCTAAATTTTCCTCAATGCTGTTTAAATAAATTAATTTATTTAAAAAATAAATAAATAATACTATACCTGTACATCTGGCTTAGGAACAAATGTAAGAGTTTCTACTTTTCCAACCTGCTTTTTTTGTTGTATCTTAAAAAAAAATCAAAAATTGTTACAAAACTGTGATTGTGATTGAAAATATAAATTTATTACCCACTCGGCGCCGGCTTGGAAACGTTTTTGGGTCCATGGTACAGATCGGTTATTAACGACTTGGGGTTCATTGCGAAAACCGACGTTTATCGAATTCGTCCCCGATGAAATTGCATTAAAAACGTTTAAGAGTGTACGCCTGCTCTGAAAACTGACGAGTTGCGATCGGCGTTCTACGATAAATTTTCCTCCATTTATGGTGAGAAGGTGAATAAATTTTCTATTAGACGAAAACATAATAATATAAAATTCTACACGAACCAAAACATGACATAATTGATTGACATGAAAAAAAATTTAAAAATCAAATTAATAACAATTTAGAATTTATTGACAAGTTAGATGACGCAGAAAAAAATAAGTAAATTATATAAAGAAAATAATTTCATTGAAATAGAGTTAATAAATCTCAAATAATTTTGATAAAAATTAATTTTTTAAATATTTAATATATTTATTGTAGATAACTTAAAATTGAAGTTTATATCTGTCAATTTTGACGTTTACTAAATTGACGTTTACTACTGTCAAATTAGCCTTTTTTTATATTTGATTAAAAATTAATATATTTATGTGTATCTTTACTATTTATTTTTTTACTTCTTTTTATCACTTAGGCTTTTGCACATCCTCACAATTTACAGTTCATTCAGGGGTCAGAAAACCAGCTCAAAGTTTTAATGAACGTTAATATAGAACAGGGTATGTTCTTTATGCCCGAAATTTGGGGCCATGGTACGCCAAAAATGAATGAACAATATAGGATGTGTTCGCCAGATTCATGTAGAACATATCCTTACGTAACCTGCGGTGTCCGGTCAGGAAGTGGGTGAGGAGCCTCAAATCACTTTTTGATTTTCCCAGGAACTGATTGTAAGATGACCTCTTCCGGTCAGGGTAGAGCAAAGTTTTCTTTGCAAAGACACTCAGTCTCATCCCATCTATCGCAAAAAGCTCGATAGCTTTGATGCTGTATTAAAAGTTAGGGGTACAAACGGTTCAGGGGAAACCAGTGTCCCGATCGTGTCCCTTATTTCCGGTACATTAGCCATTTATAGCAGTTATTTCGGCCTGATGTGTGATCTGTTTAAGAAAGTAGGTGTGATGTAGTCTGTGAGAGCTTCAAGGAGGTGTTGTTTACGAACATTCTCACTCCAAAGTTCGCTTCGGACTATTCTCATTTTTGCAACCTGCTTGTTATCCACTGAACGTTATAATGGAGTTAAAATCCGCTAAGAATCCACTTAGAAGGGGGTATTAATTTTTCATTGAAATCCAAAATTCTGTCAATTCCAAATTTTGATTTTAGATTTAGCACAAGATAAGATTCTCTTCTGCTGTAGATGTAAATTCAGATTGAGTATTAGTATTGAATGAAACTTGAATGTATCTTTTACCAATGGTTTTTGGGTTGGAGAGCTTAATAAAACTACTTGGTCACTTAGTGGGTTAAAATCGTGAGTTAAAACTTTTTTCTGAGTAAAGTATGAATATTTTTAGTACCAGAAATTTTTCCATCTTTTCTATTTTCTATGTATTTTTACATTAAGGTTTAGTTGAGTTAGTGAAATTGCTTGATATGGGGGTATAATCTTATATTAGTCTTGTTTTTGGAGGTAATATGGAATATATTTTGAACTATATGGAAAGATTTATCTCAAATGCAGAAGGAAGCAGCGTCAATCCGTGAATTGTTAACAATTTATACATGATTTATGAACAATCATGTTTCTTTGTGGACAAAGAACAATCCAAATCAATTGTATACAACAGGAATCCAAAGTTAATATCTACTCTATCTATCTCTGTGTGTTATAGTTGTAGTAATAAAGAAACTTGTAGTTATTAGATTTATTAAATAAAATATAAATTATACCACCCAATAGTATTAAACAAATACTTTGTTGGTGTTGGTTTATTATTATATGTAAGATTTTGTTGTACCAACCTTATTGTGTATTTGTAATTGTGTAACTCAATGGCTTTATAACACTAAGCACACCCTGTTATGTAAGAACTTAACCTTTAAATGCTACAAATTTTTTAAATGCGACATTTGAAGCAATTTCACAATTAATTGGTGTCATTCAGTGCCTATTTCTTACCACTATTATGTACTTCAGTATCAAAAATTTACAATCAAGTGTATTGTTCAGAATTACACAATCACCTACATGATCTACAGTAACTGGTTTATTTAATGATTTACAAATTTAATATATTCAATTATTTTACTTAAAATGTATGACTTCTTCCAACCCCTGATCTATTAAATTAGATACCAATACAGCTTGTGATAACCATGATAAGGTATTGAAACATACACATTTCGAAGAAAGTAATTTACTTTTAGATAAATTCTTTTTTTCACAAATTAAGATCAGCTCCTATACCCAGCATTATTTGTTAATAATGAATGGATATTCCCACATTAATTCCGCTTTATTTTTCAATTCATTCAAAGTAATTTCATCCATGTACAGGTTATGGCTCACTTTTTAGTACAGAATAAATTCTGTTACATATGTGTATATACTTTTCCAATTAATTCCCTTAGATTTCTTTCCTGTTTTTTGTTTTTATAACTTCTATTTCCACCATTTTTCCTTCTCTTAACACTTTTACTTGTCTCTTGCTAGCTTCATACACAAGTAGTATGTTGTGTAGATACGAATCTGCGACTTTCTCTAAATTCAATACAGATCTCTGAATATTCTTTCTTGTAACGCTACATTCTTTGTTTTTAGAATTATTTTTCATCAGAGTTCTCTTGTGTATCAAAGTAACAATCTTTTCATAAAATCGGTTAAATATCCGTCAGACTTTAACATCTTTTTCCCTTTGATTACAAATCATTTACGAACGTATGTAAGCTCGAATTCTGTTGGTGTGGGTGTAAAGTACACATCTCAAGCACAGAACCGAACGTTTACTCTACAAGTTCATTGACGTATGTTTGACGTTTCATATCAGACATGATTAATGTCAAAAATAATTCTATTATAAATTTTTATGTACATTTGAATTTCTTTTTAAACTTTTTCATATACTAGAATTAATTATAATAATATATAAACGCGAAACAAATTCAAATTTTTATGTTTTTACCAACTTAAATCATTCTGTCAATCACTTGACAGATACTTGTCAAGGTGACGGTTATGACAGCTGTCATAAAAATAATTTTAAATAATTCAATTAATTAATTACTTAGTTTACTACTATATTTATTATTGAAAAACAACAATTCTAACTAATTTATTCGAAACATTCCAATTATTTAATTTTATTGAAAAAAAAAATAAACAAATTTAAAAATGCTTAAAATTTAAATAAAAAAATCAAAGGGTTAATATGATGTAGGGAATAAAAAATGTTTGAAAGTAAATTTTTTAAAAACAAATTTGACATACGACGTATACGTGTACGTTTTCGTGGCACAAGCGTGTGACACCCCGCCACACTTCCTAACCCAAAAACCGTGGCAAACAGTGGCAACAGAAGGTAGTGTTACACGAAACCGTAGCCTGTGTGACGCTCGACTGGTGAACGCCACGTCGGGTCTAGTACGTCTTTTTAATTTCTTCAGTCTCTCGACGCACGCTAAGTACATCTCTTAGTTGCCAAGCCCGCTCAAAATAATCAAAAATGGTGAAACCAGTCAGAAAAAACTCAAGTAAAAACCCTCCGATCTTCAGTCATGAATTTATCATTCAAAATCATGCGGATATCGTTTCATGTGTGGCGATGGTGATTGTTATTGGCCTTATGGTTCAGGTGAGTTGGAATATTGTACCATATGTTTCCTTGATTTACTCAAACTTTATTAATATTAAATTAGAATAAGTTATATTAAAGATTTTTATGTTAGGTAACAGCTCCAATAGCCTCTTTATTTATTGCTCTTCAACACAATGTTACCGAAGCCGGAGAAGTGCCTTTGTACGGACCTGGATACAAGGATTGGGCTGCTGTGTTTTTCTACAGTTTAATCTGCATTGTTATTCATGCCATTATCCAAGAATATGTTTTAGACGTGAGTATAAAATGAACTAAATTAATTTTAATTTAATTAGTCTTAACGGCTTATTGTTTCCAGAAAAATACTTTCACTTATATAAAAATGCTTTCACTTCTTAAATAAGGAATAATCGTAACTGATTTTATTATAATAAGATTTAACAGAGCATGAACCAAAAGATTACACGAAATTAACTCTAGATTATGGAACTTGTTTTAAAATACCTCAATATGAGACTATTGTAAAATTTACAACAGTAACAAAAACTGACATTTTAACAAAAATGTTTATTTAAAAACTAAACTCTAATTTCAAAAATATAAATGCAACATGTTATTGCGACCTTTATAGTAAAATATGATAACAAAATATCAGTAAAAAATAATATAAATTAGTTTAGATAAATAGTTTAGATTGGATATCCACACTGTCCACAGTACATCATTGTTATCCGTCATTTTTGATTAGGGCAAAAAAAGGATACTTTTCTCTTTTTCTCTTGAGGAATTACAGGTGCCACATCTTTTTCAACATTGAGAATAAGAGCAAGATCTTGATGTTTGGACGCAATGAGTAGTTGGTCTAATGAGTCTATTTCTTATCCATGGCTCAACAAGACGACGACTTAAATCTACCATATACTGGTAGCATAAAAGGGTTTTTGCTCCTTTTTTTTTAAGTATTAGTGGAATAAATCACAAAGGAGTTAATGCTGGCCATGTTCACCATCCTGTAGAACAGCGAATCGCAATCAAATTGGTCGCGACCCAATTTTGGGTTCGAAAAATGGGTCGCATAAATATCTATTAAGTTACTGTGGTAGCACTTAGCAACTGTGGTTAGCAATGAAATAGTAACCTAAGCCTTGACGTCACAGAGATGGGCGGAGCTTATACTGACTCCAAACATTTTCGTTGCTAACGGTAAATCACCATATGCAATTTTCCATTAGTGTTAAAATAAACTAAACTAAGTGATGACATTTCAAATGACATTTTTTTGCGATTTATCTTAGCAACTGTGGTTAGCAACGAAATTGTTTGGAGTCAGTATAAGCTCCGCCCACGTCTGTGACGTCAGACTTAAGCAGTCTATTGTTTGGAGTCAGTATAAGCTCCGCCCATCGCTGTGACGTCAGACTTAGGCAGTCTATTTATGTCGATGTAATACATTGAGAAGGGTACTTTGACTCAAATTCATTTCTAAACCTACAGTGTGCTAATTAATCATCGTACCCGACGTCATCATTGCAAGTATGCAACCAATATCACAGTATAGGTAGCGCACTACGCGATTTGCGTATTTGGTTGCATACTTGCAACGATGACGTCGGGTACGATAGTTAATTAACGCACTGTACTTCACGAGAAGCCGTATGAGGATTATCAGCGACTAAATCGAACTAAATCGACTAAATCGAAAATGATCAAAATTACCAAACAACTATTTATTTGTTTGTAAAAATATCATTCAACGTAACCATAGCTACGAACAAAGCAAAGCCACTTGGATTATTTCGATAAGTTCATACCATCGCGATAGTTTGAAAGCATTTTCAATAATTTTCAGCGCCTACTAGAAATTTTTCCAAATCAAACAATAATAAAAAAATTTTTTTAGCAATTTTTCCTATGCAACCTAATTTAAAATTTGCTCTAAGATACTCAAAAAAGTGTGTTCTTTCAGATTATCGAATAAAAAATTGGGGTTGCCATTTAAAAAAATGTTGCCCCCTTTGACCCCAAAAATATACGCCACTGTAAAAAAAATTTAGACATAGGAAAAGACGACAAATTTATTACAGTCTTTGACACCTGCAAGGATTATTTCAAAAAGGAATTAGTTTTGAAGATATTTTAGGCGTTTCAGACTTTTTATTCACCCTGTATGTCTAGTAGCTAGATGGTTGTCTTTTTTGGCAGCTGAAAGGATCAAAATTGCAAACAGAGCCTGTAGTTTTTGTTTAGTGGTAGGTGACACATTGTTATTATCGGTGTAATTTTGGCGTTTGTGATTATATCGAAAATACGATCAGAGACAAAGTGTAAAAAATATTCTTCCAGTGTCGCACATTTCTTAGCTTCACCTTTCGGGCCTGATGGAAAATGGATGAGGTTTCTTGAAGAAGTTTTTTTACTTAATGTTGGGTTGTTTTGCTGTCTATTTGTAACCATTTTTTCCCTTCAGATTTACAATGTTTGGATTCACTTGTTGAGGTTGATGTACGGAATCATCAGAGTCAACTTTATTGCCACTATCATTTGAGGCCTAAGGCTAAACACATACTGACGCGACGAGCAAAGCGGCGAGCAGAGCGGCGAGGAAAGCGGCGAAAACAAACTATACATATCCAAATGAGTAGAACATAGTGGTGCGGCGCGGCGCCAAGTAGCAGTGTGGTCATAAGAGAGTATAGCGGCGCGTTCAAGCAAGTTTGTTTTCTCCGCTCTCCTCTTTGATACAAAATGGATGTTGAAGCTTTAATACATGAAAACGTTACATGAAAAATTACAAAAATAAAATAAAATGGTTGAGAAATTGCAAGAGGTAACCACTTTTTATGAGTTCGCGAAAACCAGAAATAAAATGTATAAATGCGCATGTGTTGAAAATAAAATAAAGTTACATAGAGGGTGTTCAGATGAAACAAATCCCTTCTGCGAGTATAATTGTCTGCGAGGCAACAACTTTAAAATCTGTTTTTTAAAAATGTATGTAATGTATATAATTTGTATTTTATAGTTAATATTTCCAGGCGTTGAATAGTAAGGTAAGGGAAGGGGATAATAAAATTTGGATTTTTAAATTAATAGAAAAATATAGGATAGGGAATACAAGGATAGGGTGTAGACAGGAGTTGGGTGTTGCCGCAGGGACCCCAAAATCTGCGAACAGTGTGTGCGGCTAAGTACACTGATCCTCGGTATTTTGGGGAAATGGGTTATTGAGGCATTTGTATAAGGGTGGCTTTAAGGGGAGGACCTGGTCATTAAGGCACTCAAGTCTTGTATTAGTTTTTATGAATTTGTCTATTTCATAGCTCTCTAAAAGCTCAAGTTTGTGGCCTTTATTTTGTTTATGTATCAGTGTTACATTTTCTTTAATATCAAAAGTGTGGTTGTGCAGAGATAGGTGTTTACCAAAATTAGAGTTGGGTTTTATTAAATGTTCTCTAATTCTTGTTTTTAGGGCTCTCATTGTTTTGCCAATATATGTGGCTCCGCAAATATTACATTCTAAACTGTAAACACCGTTAAGTTCCAACAAGTCTAGCTTATCTTTTGCATTATGCAAAAGTTTTTGTAAGGTGTGATTGTTTTTGTAAGATATGCTGATTCCATATTTATTGAAAATGTTTCTGATATTGTGAGCTATTTTGCCGGGATAAGTAATTGATCTGTATGTATCAAAGTTTTGAGTTATAGGTTGAAGACCTGTAGAGTTGTTAAGGTTTTGTTTAAAAATGAATTTATTAATTATTTTGTCAATTTGGGATAATTGAGTTTAGTTGTTTATGTTTTTCAATTTCTATAGTAAATTTATGATTTTTATGGAGGTTATTAATGTATTTATGGAAATCATCTATCAAATTGAATCCGTCATCATCCCAAATTATCAAAATATCATCAACATATCTGAGCCACAGGACTATATTATTATTGTTAATGTTATCTTTGTGTAAAATTTTGTTTTCTATATTATTAAGGAATATGTCGGAGAGTAGACCGCTCAAGGGGGATCCCATTGGAAGACCCTCATTGTATTGGTAAAATTTATCATTGAATAATGGCGTAGTTGTTCATACAAATGATGAAATTCGCCATGTATATGTCTACTTTTATTTATTTCATGTACATTACAACTTCTCTTCCTTTTATATTTTAATAAATACCAAAATTTCAGGGAAGAATTTTCTAATAGTAATAAATCCATACCTCCTTATTAGACGCGCCACTATGTGAATGCAACTCTTTTATTACCGCGATTCTCGGTCGCCGCTTTCTTCACCGCTCTCCTCGCCGCTTTGCTCGTCGCTCCAGTATGTGTTTAGCCTAAATCGATTTTACTTCTAATGGATCTGGATCACTTTTTTCCCCTGCCATTATTATTCTCACCTCTTCCTCCAAATCTGCTAAGCTTAGCTTAACACAAAAAGTTAATGACAAAAATTAGATTTGAATAAAAATATAAATTTATAATATAAATTTATTATTAAATAGAATTTGGAAATGCAATAAAATACGATAAAATATTTATTTCGTCGTCTTCATCACTGGTGACCGGAAATATGCGATTTCTTTTGGTCTTAATATATCCAGAACTAAGAAATTCTTTATAAATTTTTTGAAATTTTTCCTTGTGATGGGCGTTAGGTTTGTTAGGCATCTCTCGTTAAGTGTTCGACACGTCCTGTCCAAAAGTTTATTACATTCGCCATCAATACAAAATAAATTTCAAATATCATCGTTGGAATAATTTACCATGATGTTCAATGACTTACACCCGTCGTCAAATGTAACTAATGGCAACAATAATACAAACATGGACCAAAACCTGTCAAAATTCCATAGCTTTCTAATAAAAAAAACTGCATTTCGTGCATGTTTTAATAAATTTCGCAATATGAGGCAAACTACAATAAATAGGTATGGGAATGTTTATAGATAATTTGTAGAGAATTAAATTCTCTTTCTGATAGGCTAAAAAATATGGGCGTTCCATTTAAAATTTTCGACTTTCTCGCCATTGAATATGGAGAAGTAATTCAATTTTTGAACATTCTGTATAAGATATCCGATACAACAAATGACAATCTATTTGACAACATCTGAAGAGTAATCGTGCCAAAGTAGATCTTTTTTGAATGAACTTTGGCTAATATATGGAGTTTTAAAGAGAATGTTGAAATTTACCAAAAAAAGTTTAAAACCAAAATAACTCGAAAATGAAAAACGCTAGGTACCAATAACTTTTATCAAAGTCAACCTATTTTTTTACGTACAATTAAACGGTGTAATAAAAACTATAACATTCCATTTAAAATAGCGAAGTTATGGTCTACTTCTGGTAGACCGGAAGTGGCGGTCATCTTGAAAAAATTTTAGATCGAAAGTTCCGAATGAAAATATGAAAATTTCAAATCTCTACGAATAGTGGAACCTGAAAAAATTCTAACGAACCAGTTACGTGAGACACCCTGTATAGCTATCTAGCTAAGCACTAAATAGAAGGGTACTGAAAACCCCACTTTACTGTGTTATCCGCAATTTAACGAAAAATCACGAAGAATATTGTTAAATTAAATATAATAATGTTACTTTAATTTCCAGAAAGTATCGAAACGACTTCATCTTTCAAAATCAAAACTGGCGATTTTCACAAATAGCGGCCAATTAGCTGTATTTTATTTGTGTTCGACTATTTGGGGTTTCGATATTGTTTTACGCGAACGATTCATTCCTGAGGTAAAAATGAAATTACAATCAAACGCAATTTGATTGTGTTTAACTTATTTTTGTTTTAGATTTCTTTGATATGGAACAACTATCCATCACCAATGACCTTCATGATGAAGTTGTACTTCATCGTCCAATTAGCTTATTGTTTACACGAACTTCCCGAACTTTATTTCCAAAAAGTTAAAAAGGAAGAATACACAAGTAGGATAACAAGAAGTCTTGCCGGGGTCGTTTTAATCACCATTCCATATTTTTTAAAGTAAACACGGACATTTCTCCGATAATCTTTTATTAATCACATTCTAATTTTTAGTTTCAATCGTTTATTGATTTGCCTCCTTGTTTTACATTACGCTTCTGAACTTGTACTTCACATTGGTCAGTTGATCCAAACCGTTGATCGTGATGACAAATTCACTAAAGGTAATAAATCAATCGAATAATTTGATTTAATTAATTATTATTTTTTTTTTAGTAACCGGAATCGTATCAAAAATAGTTTTAAATTTGGCTCGTTTAGGAAGTATAATCATAGCGGTTTTAACGCTTTGGTTTGGATTGGCGCAAGGCGAACAACAAGAATTAAACATTCAAACCGGTTACTTTAACACCCCCTTGATTCGTTTGGCGATACTCGGTGGAATTTTAGCTTTACAAATGTACTTAACGTTCAACTACATCAATCAAGAACTTCAATTGATTGCTAAAAATAGTGAAAGTTCTGGTGGTGCAGTTGCATCGAAAGGAAAGAAGAAGGATAAATCAAAAAAGAGTAATTAAATAAAGCGTTCAACCATTTCAAACAATTTATTAATAAGGATTTGTTGTTTTAGCTAAGAAATCTGATGAATCTGATCTTCCTGAAGTTGATCAGAACACGAATAAGAATTTGAGAAAGCAGAAAGTAAAATAAGATTGTTTTTTTTTGCACTTGTTTTTAATTTCTTTTTATAAAACTTTTTTATTCGAGATGTTCTATTTTTTAATAATAGTTGTTATTGCAATTATATTTTTAAAACACTTTTCTACATCTTTTGAACCTTCGCATGTATTCAACATATTTCTTTCATGTTGTATCTGTTTGGACTCTCGAAAAAATTAATAAGAGCTTATTGATAAACCAGCTAAATGATTGTACAAGAACAAACACTAAAATCATTGGGTTAAATAAATTTGTAACAATTTTATATATTACATAAATTTAATTATGTAAAGCGTCAATTTTCATTTAGGTGATTATTGTAATGAATATATGTTTAAGATAGTTTTCTTTTGTATCACCAAGCATTTAAGATTCAAAATAAACATTTTGTAATAAAATTATATATAAAAACTGAATGTTTTCTTGAATAATTTATTAACACAATGAGAATTTTTATTTTTGTAAGCAAAATAAAACAATGTTTCAGTCAGTGTACTTATAATTTAAGCCTAGTCAAGTTAAATAGCGTTTCATATAACTAAACAGTGACAAATTTGATTGTGTATGGAAGGTTTGGCAAAGCACTGTATATTTCCAAGTAAATTAAAGCTCAATGAAGCTAAATCAATCATAGCATGGTTAACAAACCTCGTGATTTTTTGCCAGTAAGTTAAACAACTCAAATACATTTTTTAAAACTGCATTACTTACAAGGACTTTATAATAGTGTTCTAAGAATTCATATGCAAAAGATACAAAGATATTTATTATTGAATTAAGTGACTTATAGTGACCAATCAAACTTTGATGTAGAAAGGCTTCCTTGAAATTAATCACTTTATTCAACAATTTATAGTATAATGAGAATGAGATAATTATGGCTGTATTTAATTTCTATAAAAAAACAATTTGGTATATAAAAACCTTGATAAAATTAATCTGCTTGGTACTCATAACATTTCCTATATGTTTATATCCTTTAATCACATAATAAACTGCTGATTTGCAAACCCCTACAACTAAAGCATTGTTATTTCCTTTTATATCATTTTTAAAACATTTGTCTTATCAGTAATCTCCACAACTTTATGAACAATATACATTTTCATGGGGTTTTCGGCATTAATGACTGCTTTAATGATTTAGAATACGTTGTTTTTTTTGGTAAAGCTAAGTGTCTCAAATAAGTTTTTCGTAGGCGAATCTTATTGTGAGCTACTATTAATCTCAAGTTCCATATTAAGACCTAAAAAAGAACGGACTTCACTCAATTAAATTGAAGAATTGCGCATAAAAAGGTTTAGAATACAAAAGATACTTGAATCATAGGAATATTGGTGACCTAACCTATAAGTTAATGCTGATTTAATGCTAATATATCATATAATGGAATTTAGTATTCCTAAAGGTACGTTAGATTTTTTATTATTTTATAAATGTATTTCTTTTGAAAATGTGGGATTTTGTTACAATTTTCAGTTACTACTAAAAGGTGTAAGTTTGGTTGTCTATAATCACGGTTAAAGTTTGACTTATAACTTTGACAATTACTTACGTATCCCTCCCAAAAGCTGTGACGTCATTGGAAGAATTAACATTTCTATGTTTTTATTTATACAGTGTATTTTACTTAAGAAGCAATATACAAAAATATAAAATAAAATAAAAAAAATATTAAAATATAAAGCGAAATATTAACGGCTAAAATTTTATTATTTTTAGGTTATCCAACTTGACTCGGTTACCATGGTGATTAAGATCCAAATATTGCAGATGCTTGTCAAAATTAAAATTGAATTTAAGTTTTTTTTAAGGAAAAAGTCTTATTTAATTGGTTTAAAAGGCTGTATTTAACTCAAAATTGGTTTATCTAGGGAATTATAAACAAGGTAAGTGGATTAAATCAAATAAAGATATTTTTAATATATTACTCTTAATTAGAATCGATTTAAATTAATTACAATTAACGAATTTATTACGAACGCGAGATAATCGTAAAGAATTCGAAATGTTTTAAAATTAATAAAGATTAGGTTAGAATTTATAAAAAAATCGGAATAAAATTTTATTATTTTAAGGTTATCCAACTTGACTCGGTTACCATGGTGATTAAGATCCAAATATTGCAGATGATTGTTAAAATTGAATTTAAGTTTGTTTAATTGGTTTAAAAGGCTCTATTTAACTCAAAATTGTTGTATCTAGGGAATTATAAACATGGTAAATGGTTTAAATCAAAAAAAGATATTTTTAGATCAGTTAAAATGTACAAGAATTTAGGGTTAAATAACAATTAAAACTAGAACTAACCCTAGAATTAGAAAGTTTTAGCCGTCTTGAGAGACGTGGGACTAAATCCGAATGTTTCTAGGTCTCTGTCTAGTGTTAGTTCTAGTGGCAGTGGTAGGTAGCGCTAGTTAGCATAAGATGTTACTATGTTGTATATTTTTATTGAACTAAAACGAGAACTAGAAACAGTTGGGTTTAGTCGTGAAAGAAACTTTCACTTGTCAATGTAAACTTTCATTTTATTATTATATTCGTAATCTTCATAAAATAACCTTTAAAGTGAGTCCAAACTTGACGCATTTATCTCAAAAAACCAAAAAGTTCGAACTTTCAACTTTTAATTTTGACATATTTGTCAACTTCAAAAAATTAAGGTTGGTATTAATATTTAAAAATTAAATTGCTATCTTCATTGTTGCTAACTTAGGGTTTAATGTTTTTTATTCTAACTTTTTTGTTTTTTGAAATAAGTGCGTCATCTTTGGACTCATTTTAAAGGTTTTTTTAATAAAGAATACATCACGAAAGAACACCATGAAGTTGTCTATTTGTCTATTATATGATAACTAACTTCAGGTTTAAAATGTCAACCTCAATTTTGACATATTTGTAATCTTCATTAAAAATCCTTTAAAATGAGTACAAACACGACATATTTATCTTCAATATTAATGAAGTTATGGTCAACTTCCGGTTAAGAATGTCAACGTCAATTTTGACATATTTGTAATCGAAGTGAAAAATCCTTTAAAATGAATCCAAACATAATTCCAATATTACTTGAGATATATAAGCATCTTCCGATTTGAAATGTCAATGTCATTTTGACATATTCTTAATTTTTATAAAATGTCTTAAAATTTGTCACAAAAACAAAAATGTAATAAAAAAAATCAGAAATTAAGGTTGGTAGTAATATTTAAAAATTAAATTTGCTATCTTCATTGTTGCTAACTTCGGGTTTAATGTTTTTTATTCTAACTTTCTTGTTCTTTGAGATAAGTGCATCATCTTTGGACTCATTTTAAAGGTTTTTTAATAAAGATGACAAATATGTCAAAATTGACGTTGACGTTTCAAACTGGAAGTGATTGTATCTCAATTAACATCAAAGTTAAATATGTCGAGTTTGGACTCATTTTAAAGGATTTTTTATAAAGTTAACAAATATGTCAAAATTTTCGAACGTTTTGGTGTTTTGAGATAAATGCGTCATGTTTGGACTCACTTTAAAGGTTATTTAATGAAGATTACGAATATAATAATAAAATTAAAGATGACATTGACAACTGAAAGTTTTTTTTCACGATTAAACCCGAATGTTTCTAGGTCTCGTTGTAGTTTTAGTTCAATAAAGATGTACAGGGTGTTCAAATTTAGATGGGTTTGCAGGGTATCTCAGTTATTATGAAAGATAGAAAGTTGCGGATTTCGCGAACCTGAGCTAATTTTTTTCTAATCTCTAAAAACGATCAAATGTCGCTTAATCAAGTGATGCATAACGCAGTCCATATGTATATTCCTTATTCCTGACCGTTGTTTTTTCTATTATTGTTCTGAGGGTAACGCCGTTTGTTCTTCTTCGAGTTTTTCTAGAATTTTTGAATAGTTTTCGCATCTGGTTGTTTCCCCCTTCTTATGGATTGGCACGATTATATTCTTTTCCCATTCATGGGGTATTAATCGATTTAATTTAAAACTTTTAGTATTGGAATTAAAAGGTATTTAAGAAAAATACATAAAAATTTAACAGAAGTATCTATTTTTGTTTTATTCATAAAATTTTTAAAAATTTTTTTTACCTCACTTATTTGAGAAAGAAATCGCATCTACATTTCTCATCTTTTCAAACATCTTTTGAGTGATTACATTCGCAATGGACACATTCGCTTAAATTTGTTACACTAATAAAAAATAAAGAGTAACTCGCAAAGTTTTCACACTGCTTACGACATACATTATTATTTTGTTTTTTTATTATTTTTTTTTTTATTTCGTTTACATACGATACGTTTACGAATACTCATGCTCTATCACTAAAAGTGCCGTTACGACTCTCAAATGTCATTCATTATACGAAAATAAAAATTTATAAAGTTAATTTTAAGAAAACAAATTTTTTTTTTTTTGTATTTCCAATTTGTTTATTAATTAATTTTTATTTAATTGTTTTTGTTGGTTTATTTTTTTCTCGAGTGCACACAGATATGAAAGAGTTATAACAATTTTTTTATATTTTCGTTTTTTTAATCATTTTTTTTCACAACGACTGAAAAATTGACTGATTATTCTATAAGAATAAATTTTAATTTTTTTATTAATTTTTTTTGCGGCGCTTATTAATTATTTATTTTTCTTTAATATTAATCATATTTAAGTGATCTACAATGTGCATACAATACATACAACGATTAACAATTACGGTAAGCGTTTTTAGTTTTTTTTTTTTTAATGATTTCTGGAAAATTTTCTTTTTAAAGATTTTTTTTGTTAGAAAAATGACCAAAATATCTCTTAAAATTCTTGACTGCTTTTTGAAACGGTTTATTTTTTTTTGTTTTTTAATTATCTAGTGGACATTATTAAGAGAGTATCGAGGGCAAATTCGTTTTCAAAAAAGAAAAGCACTGTGGGGGGAAATTAAAAATTATCTAGGTTTTAATCATAACTTTGAGATCTTAATTTTCTTCTTTTGAAAAATATTTACTCTCTTTACCCTCTTTATTATTTTTTTTGTAAGTATTGCTAGAAATTCTCCTATTATTTATTATGTTTAAGTTGCCCAAAAAAAAAAGAAGTAAAAGAAAAACATATAAAAGGGGGGAATTTTGTACTGTTAGGTATTCTTTTTCTCATTTTTAATCTATGCATTCATTTTTCCGTTTTTGTTTTGAAATAATCCTACATTTTTTTTCTCCTTTTTAAACTTTAAACTAAATAATACGAAATAAATCACATAAAATATAAGAAATAAAAAAAAGTAGAACGAACTAAGTGCGTAAAAAATAATAACATATTATTGATTCTTTTTATTTCAACAAAATAATTTAAGGGTATCATTTAACTAAATCTAATAATAAAAATAACTCTATTTACATCTTCTTGATTTTTGTTTATCGGTAATGCCCGAAACAATTTACAGAAAGCAAATTAATTAGATTAATTAATCAAACTTACGATTTAGAAAAAAAAAGCCGGACAATTCAGATCGGAGGAAAGATTTTTTTTGATTTAATCATTTTTTGAACACAAACGGTTTTAAAATTTAAGATTTTTTTTACCACACTCAATCTATTAATGTAATTTCATTCAGTTTTGAACTGAATATTTTATGAAATAACTCAAAATAAATAAACAACTCAAAAGAAGACTCAATAGTAACAATATTTAATAAATTCCCCTTTTACTCAACAAAAAAAAACATCATTACTATTGATTTATTTATTAACTCGCAAAAATTGGACTTATCCAGGGATTTTTTATGAAATGTTTCCCTTCTCCCAAACAAATTAAAACGTTTTAAACGTCATATAATCTATAATTACCATAATCAATCATAAAATATTCAGTTTCCTTTCTTAATTTATCTATTCTGAATTCATTTTTGGTTAATTTCTCAATATTTTGTTTGTGTTATTTGGATCTAGTTTAAAAATGTTTTTTTTTGGAACATTTCCATCCGCCTGATTGTACCCGGTGAGATCAGAGTGTTTTAGTTGTGCTCAGCACTTGCGGTTGTTATTGGCGCAGGAACGTCGTGCCCCCTGCGATTTTTCACCACGACGCTGACGCTGGTTACGACTGTTTACATCACGAGCCTTATTGGTGCGTTCCAGATAACCTTTTTTCAAAGTCTGGCACGCTTTTTGAATTTGTACCTAAAACAAACAAAAAAATTTATTAATTGAATTGTCAAAATTAATGTCAAATTTAAACGTCATTTTAAACGTCAAAGTGACGTTTAAATTTTCGATATTCAAAAAGGTTAAATTTTAGTTTTTGGTTTTATATTTATACAAAAATAATTTAAATAAAATAAAATTAAAATTTCTTAACTTCAATTAACGAATTACTAAAAATGTTATTAGAAATTAGAGAAATATAATAAATTTTATGGGGACCCTAGGTAATACCAACAAAAACCCTAAAAATTTGACACTGACAGATATAGAAAAAAAGATATCTTTCTTACAAGATCAAATAATATAATATTACAATATCAAATACATATAATCAATGTAAAAAATGCTATGGAATGAATTCAAACCGAACGGAGATATAGAACATCTATAACGAGGGTCTGGAATTGAAGAAAAGATGTTACCTTGGTTTTAAACCATAGAGAAGATCGAATAGACTATGTAGTGATGCCGCAAACGCCTTCTGCTTTATTCTATCAAATTGTGAAGATAAATCTTCTCGTCTTTATCTTACAAATAGTTATTCTATACTAAGGTATGTATTTTTGGCCCTTAAAGAATAAAGCTAAAGTTACTTGCACCCAACAGATATTCATAACTTTTACAGATAAACCCCAATTGACGTAGCGCCTCAACCTCAAAAAACATCGGTTTCATTCTCTCAAACTGTAATTGAAAATTGAATTGTCAAAATGAATGTCAAATTGTTGTGAAGTTGGCAAGATTAATAGGGAATTTTAAACGTCAAAGTGACGTTTAAATTTTCGACATTCAAAAAGGTTAAATTTTAGTTTTTGGTTTTATATTTATATAGAAATAATTGAAATAAAATAAAATTAAAATTTTTTAACTTCAATTATCGAATTACAAAAAATTTTATTAGAAATTAGAGAAATATAATAAATTTTATGGGGACCCTAGGTAATACCAACAAAAACCCCAAAAATTTGACACTGACAGATATAGAAAAAAAGATATCTTTCTTACAAGATCAAATAATATAATATTACAATATCAAATACATATAATCAATGTAAAAAATGCTATGGAATGAATTCAAACCGAACGGAGATATAGAACATCTATAACGAGGGTCTGGAATTGAAGAAAAGATGTTACCTTGGTTTTAAACCATAGAGAAGATCGAATAGACTATGTAGTGATGCCGCAAACGCCTTCTGCTTTATTCTATCAAATTGTGAAGATAAATCTTCTCGTCTTTATCTTACAAATAGTTATTCTATACTAAGGTATGTATTTTTGGCCCTTAAAGAATAAAGCTAAAGTTACTTGCACCCAACAGATATTCATAACTTTTACAGATAAACCCCAATTGACGTAGCGCCTCAACCTCAAAAAACATCGGTTTCATTCTCTCAAACTGTAATTGAAAATTGAATTGTCAAAATGAATGTCAAATTGTTGTGAAGTTGGCAAGATTAATAGGGAATTTTAAACGTCAAAGTGACGTTTAAATTTTCGACATTCAAAAAGGTTAAATTTTAGTTTTTGGTTTTATATTTATACAGAAATAATTTAAATAAAATAAAATTAAAATTTCTTAACTTCAATTATCGAATTACAAAAAATTTTATTAGAAATTAGAGAAATATAATAAATTTTATGGGGACCCTAGGTAATACCAACAAAAACCCTAAAATTTGACACTGACAGATATAGAAAAAAAGATGTCTTTCTTACGAGATCAAATAATATAATATTACAATATCAAATACATATAATCAATGTAAAAAATGCTATAAAATGAATTCAAACTCAACGGAGATATAGTATTATGAGAATTGAAGAAAAGATGTTACCTTGGTTAGAAAGCATAGAGAAGATCAAATAGACTATATTCAAAACTTTTACAGATAAACCCCAGTTGAGGTAGAGCCTCAATCTTAAGAAACCTTGGTTTCATTCTCTCAAACTGTAAAGATAAAAAACTGTGACCTTATCATACTAATAACTAATGTAGTAATATATTACTAAGGCAGAGAAGATACATTTTTAGAAGCCTAAATGGAGAAACTGAAAGATTAAACACAATTAAGGTAACTTTTCGGCTTTGTATGATGCAATATGAAGGAATTGCATCTCCTTATTAAGCATAGATCAAGTTGTATTTAGTAGAAAAAACGTCAGGTTCCAAGATGTAACCTTTTCTTTTGCACAATTTTTTTTCTAGAACAATCTATCATGTCAAACATAAAATTGCAACCCTAGAAAATAATTGATGGCAAAGATCTATGTATTTTAAAGCACTGGTTTCAAAGTACGAGTTCGTTTTAACGTAAGCTTCTGCTATTTTACCTTGGAAATGAAGTTCTAGCATTTTTTGGCTACACATTGTACCTTATGTAGAACGTGCAATAAACCCACCACTCTAGTAAGTAATCTCTTTTAAATTAACTATTGTAGATCTTATACAAATTTAGTGTCTGGATTTATCTTTCCTCCAGAACTAGATTGGGCAAGAAATACAATCAAACCAAACTTAATCCAACCCAACATTTCTCGTACTATGTCTAGAGTCTAGATGCTGCATCGTGAATTGATAGTTACATAAGATTATGAAATAAAACCAACATTTGGGTTCGTAAATGTCAATTGTAAATGTAATTTTCATTAAGATGAAAATAAAAGGAATAACTGATATACTATGTAGGTATAAATAAAATAATCCTCAATCTAAGTTATATACCTGCAATAAAAAAATTACATACATTTTTTTTGAAATTTGAACCAATTGATAATAACCACTCCATTATACACAGTCCTGATGAATGAATAACATGATTATCAATCTGGACCGATGGAGTTTATGGAAGCCTATGTAAACTTTGTTCATCCTACAACAAAAATTCTGATGACATTCTGCACAGATTTTTTTGAAAGCGACATAAACCTCCGATATTCCTAATGGTTCGTTATTGATTTTATTATATCATATTTATATTTATATTAAACTGTAATTATTTATAATTAAATTAAAAATTTGATGTCGTCGGCCGCAATTGATTACAGGAAACAACGTCACATTTCAAATTGATTTAAATATAATCTCTGTTCCAATTAGCGTTTATTAGTAATCTATAACAGTAATCTTAATCTAATCTCTCTAATTATGGTACATTTAATATTTAAAAACATTACTCCTAATCGTGTAACTTTAACATTTCCTTTTTTGCTGCGTAAATCGTTTATTTCGTCTAAAGTGTGTAGATTATTTTTATTTTTTGATTTTTATACTTTCTTATCAACGTTAAATAAAGTTTGTAACTTAAAATAACGTGCGCTTATTAATTATTTTTTAAATATTGAAAATGTCAAAAAATATCAGTTGCTAACTTCAAGTCAATATCAAATACAGTTACTCACAAAATTGAGTATACAGTTAAGCTAAAGTGATTAAATTTAGGCCCTCTATTGGCGTCAATTATCGCCTGCATTCGCTGTGGTATGGAGTTCACTAACTTTTTGGTGTAGTTTGGCGAGTTTTTAATTGAAACTTAACTTCTTCCCATAAATATTCAATAAGATTCATATTCAAAGACTATGGTGGTGTTTTTTAACTGTTTTGAAGAAGTAAATATAATAACCATTCCTTTACAAGGTACCTATGATATACAGGGTGGTTCAAATTCGATGTCCGAATAGGCTTATCTCGGAAACTATAAGAATTAGAAAAAAAGTAGCTCACATGTCAATCTCTTTTTTTAAATAAATTACAATGTCGAAAACCTCAAAGCGCTATCATCTTTTGTTTTTCCCCTTTTTTCCCTTTTCGCTTTTAGAATTTGAGATATTATGACATTTTCCTTTTTTTAAATGGAAACAACCACTGATTATTCTTATCGAATTCGTTATTTTTTTCTGATTACAAAAATATAGGGTTTGACAGGTTTATTTCTTATTGATTTTAGAATAAAGCTAAAAATAAACTTTTTTTTAGTGTCGTTAAAGAAATAAAATTTACAGTTTCCTGTAAATTATAACTAAAAATTAAAAAAACATATTTCTGATATTTGAAACAAATATATTTGTTGAATTTATATTTGTTTTACACAAAAGTTGGAATAGATTGCATTATTTCACATTTTTTATTATTTAATATTATTATTAAATGACTTAAATTATTGATAGATGGCACTCATATATATATATTTTTTTAATTCAAATAAACATAGTGACATTTGTTTATATTCAAAAATTTTCTGAAGTGTCAAATTAAAAATCCCGTTTTTTTAAGATTGATTATGAAAATTGCGAAAAGTTTAACATGTTAGAATGTTATATATTAAAAAATAAAGAAAATTTTATATAAATTTTTAGTAGAATAATTTTTAGTTATAGTAATTTACAGGAAACTGTAAATTTAATTTCTTTATTTTTAACATTATTCTTTGTTTTTTTATAACATTTCTAAACGCCGCCGAAATCCGGTGATGTCGAAGAAATGAAATTTACAGTTTCCTATAAATTACGGGGCAGTAGGTAACATTTAAAAAGCTTAGAATTAAATAAGCAAACAACTTCTGGTATTTAAAAACAAATTATTATGTTTATTACACCAATTGTTATACGGAAATATTTAATGAATTGTATTGGAGAAATATGTTTTTTTAATTTTTAGTTATAATTTACAGGAAACTGTAAATTTAATTTCTTCGACATCACTAAAAAAAGAAGTTTATTTTTAGCTTTATTCTAAAACAATAAGAAATAGACCTGTACAACCCTATATTTTTGTAATCAGAAAAAAATAACGAATTTAATAAGCGAATAATCAGTGGTTGTTTCCATTTAAAAAAACGAAAATTGTCATGATATCTCAAAATCTAAAACCGAAAATATAATGTCTTAGATATAATACTCCACCTATAATAATAACCAAGGTAATTGCACTTGTTGGTTTTACGATATTTTCAATTTTGGCCTCTAGGGGAAGGCTTTGAGGTTTTCAGCATTAGCAGTTTCTCGAAAAACGAGATCATGACATGTAAGCTACTTTTTTTCTAACTCTAGTTTCTGAGATAGCCTATTCGGACATCGAATTTGAACCATCCTGTACATCAGGAAATATATTATTGCCATCAGAAATGTAAATAAAACGTGGCATTTGGAGGATTTAATGTGATAGTAATAAAGGTTTATCATCTATTTATTTTTAAAAATTCTCCTTAAAGATTTCCGAGATGATGGGGTGTTTGAATTTTCTCCAATGAGATTGAAATAAGCCACTTATAACCAACTATAGGGTTTACCTACCACATAGATGACCAAAGAAGAGGTTTGCTGAAACAGCCACATATTGCATCGTTAAAAGCAACATTTAAGATAATTTGTCAAAACTATTTGATCCGGTACACCTATCTTGATGAAACTTGGATTTTTGGAAGAGGATCTCCACGAAAAAGTTAGCATGATGAAGATAAAAACTCTGTTAAAAAAAAACCTATCGGTAATGTAATTCTGCATGCTGGCAATAATCTCCGTTATTTTCTTCCATGTCTAAATCAGCAAATTATCATAATAACATGAATGCTGACATTTTCAAAAAGTGTATCACCGAGCAGTTGCTTCCTTATTTAGATACGTTCAATTTAAAAAAAAGTTGTAAGTTAAGATAAAAGAAAATTTGCAAATATTAGAAGGCAAGGAGAATACCGAAACTGCAGAAATGTAAACGAAAAATAGCGTGACATCAAAACAGCCTTATTGGAACCCTCGATGGCCACGCTGAAGAAAGAGAATTCCACATGAAGGCAAGAATGGATAACTGACGAAATTATTGCTCTGGTGGATAAGAGAAGAAACTTCAAAGGAAATAATGATCAACAATATAAGATAACACAACGAATAATTCGCACAAAAATCAGAGAAGCGAAAGAAGAATACTACAAACAAAAATGTGAAGAAATCGAGAGGTTCTAGGCATAGTATTAGTTCTACATAGTAACAGTGCTAGTGTAAAACTAGAACTAACACTAGAACGATTCGGATTTAGCCCCACGTCTCTATAGACGGCTAAACCCGAATGATTCTAGGTCTAGGTATAGTGTTAGTTCTAGTTTTAAACTTGCACTGTCACAAAAAAAAATATATTTTTGCATATTGCATCTTAAATGAAACAATTATCTATCTTCCATTCCCCTGTATACTAAATTTGATGAGCAACTGTATAACCTAAAATTATTAAATAATTCAAAATTATTTTAAGAAACATATTAAAACATTTAATAATGGTAATTTAAGAAGAGCGTTTCCGTAAATGTTAAATAAATGAATTAAATCGGTATATTCTAGAAGAACCAGTTCAATTATCGTTTCCTCTTTGAACACTCGATGCTTGTTTCCCAGGCTGTCGCCGGATTGAACAGTAAACGCATCCAACGTAAAGCATCTGCACCTCGTCACGAATAAACAAAGAGAAATCCGAAGCAGATGAGCTACGTTGAAGGCAAAAATGAAGAACTAAATAAATAACTAAGCGGTTATCAGAATTGAGATGTAATAAAAGACAAAGAACGATAATCTCATTAATTTGCTTGTAATTGAACAATAATAAGTGAGAAATATTAAACGTCGTCGACAGGAGGTCTCATTTTAAAACCACAATCTGTTTATGACACGATTTATCACCAATCTCATTAACGACTATGTTCAAGAAATAACACATAACAATGAATAAGCGTTTATTCTCCGTTACAACAACTTTCAACGTTTTATTAAAAATAACTTACCCTTTGTGCACTTTTCGTTCTAACCCTTTGAACATCTTGCTGTCTTAAAACCTCATCTACGTGTCTCATCCTTCTCCTTCTAACCGGTTCCCTCCACAACAACCTGTCTTCAATTTCCACAAAATCATCCTCAACATTAACAACATCCACTTCCTCATCTTCATCGTCCTCCACCTCGCTCGATCTCTCCCTTAATTGTTGGCTAAGAATCCTAAAATGTGGATGTTGGGGATTCGGATGGTGCCTATAAACGCTGATGCTTGGATGCTCGATAAGCAAATTTTCCAACGGCGACGTTTCCATCACGACGGTTCCAGTCGAGGTAAAACACGGCGGTGGGGTGATGTACCATGACTCTTCCATAGCCGCGTGCGAAGACGACGAAGATTCACTTCGTGTCATCTCAGACGGGACGACCAATCGGTCCAATTCAGGATCTTCCAGGTCGTGGATGGGGTCGATGAGGTCGTCCAAATCGGTATCTTCAAGGTCGTCATCGTCAACGGTACCGACGGAATTTCCTTCGCTATCACGATCAACCAAAAGCCAACCATCGTCTTCTTCTAAAACTAGAGGAGCGACGCGAGATGGTTCGGTGGATAAATTCGGTGGTTGTTGGTCTGGTCTAATGTTAACGGTGGGTGTGGTAGTGTTTGTTGTTCCCAATAGGTAGTTTACTAATTGTCCAAACATTGTCTGAAAAGAAAAATAAAAAAACTTATTTATGTGAATTAACATTTAAATTAAATATTCATTAAATTAATCACACCTATAAAAATTAATGTCTTCATCTACGCCTTTTACAAATTAAAACGTTTCTACATATTTGCCAATTACATAATCTTCTGTGTGACCTATGAACATCGTTGCTGTTTAAAATAGGTTAGCCTCGTGACTTACGTTCGTCTTAATGTTTGTTTGGTTTGTCTGTTTTATACACTTGTCTTCTTTTCTTTTGCAATCTTTGGTTACCTGCTCGTCTTTGTACTCACATCTGTAAATCCTTTCAAGTTTGAACACGTCTACCTACCTAATGGTTAACGTCTCCTTTTCGGTATCAAGGTCAACGTGTCTTTAAATAATAAAAAAAAGTCTCTCCCTTGAGGTTTTCTTAATTCTTGTGCGATAGAAAAATTGTTTATGTAATAAGAGAGTGATTAACGAGAATTAATGAAATTTCAACTTAATCGAATAGAAAGTACTTAATTAAATTATGTCAAAAACAATAAAACACTTATTTTTGGATAAGTACTAGATTGTTAAAGATTGTAACAAAAAAAATGACTTAATGTTGACAACTTAAAAAAAGTTACCAAATTCTAACAAAAATTACTAAAATTTACGATAAAAAGTATACACTAAAACTATAGATTTGCAAAAAAGTCTCTGTTTTGGGGTTAAATCCATCATAACAACGTTTTATTTAACCTAAACACAATAAAAAATTTGTGTATAAATTTACATTTTAAATAAATGTTTTTTAAGTCTTTTAAGTCTCAATGTGTCAATGCCATATTAAAATTGCAAAAAAATTGAGTGTAGTCCACTTAAATTAATTTAAAATCTTAAAAAAATCGTTATTTTTTTACATGGTAACTCACCCCATCTAGCGGAATCACACTAAACAAATCGAATTTTTGACATATTGACATTTTATAATACCTTACTATTTATTGTTAATTTATATAATAATTTATAGTTTAATTATTATTTTTTCTCCCTAAATTAATGAAGAATTCTTCATTGAGGACATAACCTTGACTTTTTTTTGTGCAAATCAGGGTCATTTATAAAAACAACACAGTAAACCCATTGATTTTATTCATCTTCTTCTTTCTCTTGTCCCCATCTTTCAATAATCCTCTCAATCTCTCCCTCCTATTGAGGTCTTGGTCTACCACGCTTTCTCTTTCCTTCTTGCCTCATGTTGAACATTTTCTTAGGTATTCTATCTTCTTTCATTCGAACCAAATGACCATACCAACTTAGTTGTTTTCCTTTTATTTCCTATACCAGGGGGTTTAAGCTTAGTTCTTCCCTGATGTTCTTGTTCCGTACCCTATCTCTTCTGGTTTTCCCCAATATCTTGCGTAGATACTTCATCTCTGCTTCTGTTATTTTCTATCTTTACATCGTCCAAGTTTTTGATCCATAATTAAGTGTTTGTTTAATTTTCAACTCTGGCCATAATTAGTATAATTCTGCAAGTAGAACTTATAAAATGAAGACTTCTAGGTTGTTCTTGCATCGATATTTGGGTAGTAATTTAGTAACCACAATTTCTATATCATCCGTTCCACCTTGCTAACGATCATGGAGTTATGGCTTAGGGTTAATCGCATGTAGTGTACGTTGATAGAAGTTTTATACTTTAGCTCTAGGGATTTATATCGAGAACAGGGAAGAATCCACTCCTGAAGGAACAGTTTCGAAATTGATGCAGAAAAGCCAAATATATCATTTTACTCATTCAAAATTAGTCATGATAAACAAGCAAAACAAGATGCCTACTTAGCAAAACGATGTTATGTCAATACGAAACTTTATGCCCAATATAGTTCTTCAGCAACACCATAACTCCTGGTCTCACATCGTCAAAATGACCAAGGGGCAGCTATTTTAATGATTGACTAAGAAGCGCAATACTGATACAAAATTAATGAGGTTTAGCTACACACACTTATAAACATATTGGAAATGAATGGCTTACACTGTCTTTAGGTTTGCGGATTCGTAAAAAGTGAAAAGAAATGATCACTTAAGAATCGTAGTTCTTGGATTCACTATAAGTGATTCTAAGAAAAAAAAAACATTCCAATGGGTTGAAAAAGATCGCACCATCTTCAGGTTAATAAAGATAAAAATATTTTTTGCAAAGTCTCCATACTACAAAATTGACACCAATAAATACTAAAGCGTTTAATAATAAACGTAATAAATCTTCATGAAACATGATAAGTGATAAATATGTGTTCCTTGATAATCAAGTATAGCGTTGATGAAGTTATCAACTTTTATGCAGTGCATAAAGATGAGAATAAAGTCATATCAATGTCGATAGTTCCAAACTCGTGCAAAGTAATGACTCTGGAATGTAATACATTTGCTTAATCTTGTAAGAGAAAGAATGGAATTTCCTTTCAACCTGGATGGGATTATTAACCACAGCGTTACCAACCTTACCGGTTTATCGGTAGATCTACCGATAAAGAAGATATACGACTTAATCTACGGTTTTCCATTTCTGCAATTTTTTGTTTTCCTCTACAATTCTAACCTATTACAGTACTCTTCTTCAAATTGCGATTATGACGTTTTTTTGCGAGTTTCATAATAATGTAACCCGTAACTTTCTAATTCTAGGTTTAGTGTATTATTGGATATTATATTGAATGAATTAAAAGTATAACTAACATTAGACCTAGATCTAAAATCATTCGGGTTTAGCCACACGTCTCTTAAGACGGCTAAACCCGAATGATTCCAATTCTAGGTCTTGTGTTAGTTTTAGTGATAGTGCTAGTATAAAACTAGAACCAGAAAGTATCTAGTTTAGCCATGCGAGCTCTAGTGTTAGTTCTAGTTTTAATTGTTATTCAGCGCTAGATTGTTCTATATTTTTATAGTGTGTCCGTAAAGTAACGGATATAGGCGATAATCCCTTAAACGGGGCTAAAGATTTAAATTTTTTGACAGTAAATCTAGTACAGTCAATATTAATATTGGTTACATAAGAAAATTTACTTTAAAGATTTGCTTGACATTATAAAACTAGCAGTAGCAATGGGTAACTATGGTAACCAATTATTTTAAACAATGTCTTAAGTGTCAAAAACTGATTTAGTAAAGCTTGTTGAACTGTGGAGACGCGCCATCTTGTTGGAATAACTACCATTGGAACTCAGGAAGAATTTTGAAAAAATCTAAACATCTCCTTCCAGTTAAGGTTTCCTCAAAAAGTAAGAACTCAGGACAATATCCCGTACGATTTCGCTCCACACATTGATCTTTTGCGGATATTGGGTGTGCGAGTTTTTTTTCCAATGTGGATTTTGCGTAGCCCAATGACAATCTGAATGTTCCCTGAAAAAATATGTTTTTGACAAAGTCTGCGTCATCGTAACAAAATTGTTGTTGGAAAAACTACGTCTCATTGCTGGTGACAGAGGTTTACTTTATAGGAATAAAATGTTGCGGTTTAAAATTTTATGAACCGTTGATTTACTAATGTCCAAATTCGACCCAAAACCCCTGACAGGAACATAAGGGTTTTCTTGCCCAGAAAAAACTACCTGTTGTTGAACCTCCCCTGAAATATTTGGTGGGGCAGACTTCGAGAAATCTCGAAGATGTCGAAGCTTTTTAAATTTAGTCACAGCTTACCATGCTAATGAGCTAAGCAAAAACAAAAAGAGTTATCTCAAAACGGACATCATCATTGAAAAGAAGATGCTTTAATTGATAATTGAGATAAGTTTCATAGTGATATTCCAACAAATCAATTTTTCCGAATTTTTAAAGGTAATTATGGTAAATATGAAAGTTGCCAGAAATTAAGATTGTATTTAAAAATTTATATCTCAAAGGGAAAAAGAGTTATCTCAAAACGGACATTACCATTGAAAAGAAGATGCCTTAATTGATAATTGAGATAAGTTTCATGATGATATTCCAAAGAATAGATTTTTCACTAATTTTTCACGAAGTTAATTCTAGAAAACAAATTACGATTATATTCAAACATTTATATCTCAAAGGCAAAAAGAGTTATCTCAAAACGTACATTGGCATTGAAAAGAAAATATTTTAATTGACAACTGAAGAAAGTTTCAAAATGACATTCGAACAAATTGATTTTTCAGACATTTTTAAAGTTACTCTCGCAAAAACTCAAAAGTTACCAGAGAATTCGATTTTGTTCAAAATCGTATATCTCAAAAACAAAAAGAGTTATTTCAAAACGGACATCATCATTGAAAAGAAAATGCTTTAATTGATAATTGAGATAAGTTTCATGATGATATTTCAACAAATCGATTTTTGTTGAACGAATTTTTAAAGTTAATCTAAGAAAACATGAAAGTTATTAGAAATTACGATTGTGATCAAAAATTTATACCTCAAAAACAAAAAGAGTTATCTCAAAACGGACATTATCATTGAAAGGAAGATGGTTTAATTAATAATTGAGATAAGTTTCATGATGATATTGCAACAAATAGATTTTTCACGAATTTTTAAAGGTAATTGTGGTAAACATGAAAATTGCCAGAAATTATAATTGTGTTTAAAAATTTATATCTCAAAAGGAAAAAGAGTTATCTCAAAACGGACATTACCATTAAAAAGAAGATGCTTTTGTTGATAACTGGAGAAAGTTTCGTGAGGATATTGCAACAAATAGATTTTTCACGAATTTTTAAAGTTGATCTAAGAAAACATAAAAGTTATCAGAAATTACGATTGTGATCAAAAATTTATACCTCAAAAACAAAAAGAGTTATCTCAAAACGGACATTATCATTGAAAGGGAGATGGTTTAATTAATAATTGAGATAAGTTTCATAATGATATTCCAACAAATCGATTTTTCACGAATTTTTAAAGGTAATTGTGGAAAATATGAAACTTTCCAGAAATTACGATTGCGTTTAAAAATTTATATCTCAAAAGGAAAAAGAATTATATCAAAACGG